AGGTCTTTGTCAATTTATCTTCCAGATACATTGGAAAATTTGAAAAAACAGTGAAAACGAGCGAAAAAATTTTAAAAGTTTGAATTCGCGCGCTTTTACTCGCCGGGCGGCCTAGAAAAAACCTCGTCCCTAAGGGCTTTCAGCGTATTTTTCGATGCGTTTTTCTCGATGAAGGATTTTTTTTGAATTTTTTCTTTGTTTTTATGTCAATCTACATGCATTTCTGCACATATTGATGCAATAAAAAATTTAATCGTACACCACCTTTAACTGATTTTTTTAATCGATAGAAAATCTCTATGACTATCCGGTTGCTAAAAATCGTCAAAAGTGGTGCTTTTTGAACCAAGATACAAGTGGATCCGAATTTTTTTTCTACCGGAGTACGGCCTAAATTAATCCGCCACGGTTACACAGGTAGAGGGGGACTTCCGAAAAACTGCTGAGTGACAGCTGAAGAGGCGCAAACTGGCGAATGACTGCTAGTTGGCGTCGAAGGAGAACCGACGGGCCGTCGACGGTCCGTCGACGGACAGTCGGTACCGATTGGAAAACTGATTTGCAGGTTTTGATTGGAAATCGTTCAGAAAACAATTTCTCATACCCCCACTAGATTATAGGAAATGATAGAATCTTATTTTCCTAAAATAGGACCACCTCAAAAAATAGGTTGTTGAACGACTGCTGAATGACAGTCGAAGAGGCGCTGACTGGTCAATGACCGGTGGTTGGCGGGCCAAATTTCTGCAGAATGGAAAATTTGGTTGAAAAAAGATGTTTCTCTTAAAACATGATAAAAGTCATAGAGGGATCTGGGAATCTATAAAATGTGTTATTAGAAGCACTTCTACGAAAATTAGAATCTGAGGCGCGATTGGTGAAAAACGGCTAAATGACAGTCGAAGAGGCGCTGACTGGGCAGCTGGATGAAAAAAATCTGTAAAGGTCGGTGTCCTAATTAAGATGGAGAAAGAGTAGGGCATCGAGGCCAATGACGTGGCATCCGGTTGGGAATCCTGTCAGCTGCAAACCGGCAAACCGGCATACCTTTTTTTTTGTCTATTATTTTCATAATATTTTGTTTTCTAGTTTTAACTGAAAGTAATGCCGCGCACACCATTTCGGTTGTTTTCTCCTATTCAATTTGGCCCAGGGCCACAAGATGAAGAAAGCGAAGAGACATCGAGCCCAGACATCACTAGAGAATCTGAGGATACTCTTGAAGATCCATACACCATAGATGACATAGACTACGACGATGATGAATCAGGTTCAGGTATCATAGTCCATTATCTAAAAAGAAAAAAATATGATAGTTTTCAGATCTGTCCAGCACTCTGAAATCGGTTTCTGACGAGGTTTTAATTTTTGTAGCTGGCGCATGCCTCGAAAGAATGTCAGATTCTGGATTTGGTAGAATGCTCTCTTCTCAAGATGAGGGGTTTCGCAAACAAGCATGGAAGCTATGGAAAAATGATCTGACAACATTCAGTCTCGCAAAGTTTACACGATCTTCAAAAAAGGGAAAACTTGAGAAATAATTACTGAACGATCTTTGTTTGATCTTTTTTGTTGTTGTTGAGCAGCCATATATGGTGTCTGTTGCTTCTTTTTTTTCCTTCTGTTCCCCTTCTAATTGTTACCCTATTTCACGTTACTGTTGTTGCCAGTATAGGCCTGTTTAACCAATAAATTTTTATTGGTATAAGTTTCGATCTAAAGTCACAAGCTAGAATATGATGAACAACAGCTATTGAATAATGAACTGTCGAGAAGGCGCAACAATTTTAGACGGTCCGTCTGCGAGGCGCAAAGCGTTGCAGACGGGCTGTCGGCAGCGCGCGATTCGACTGCCGACTGTTCGCTTTTCGGCAGTCCGCGCCCGCCAGACGGCCCGTTTTTCGGCAGTCCCCCTCTACCTGTGTAGGAGATGCACAATTTTGATACCAATATTGAGACAAAAAATGACCTGATTTGCTTAAAATTGAAAAAAATTTATTAAGTTTTGAGTGAAATGTTCGAAATTCCGAGGGTCCAGCTTCCACCTCTTGGTACGCGAGAACCACTCAATGGATTGGTTTGAGTTTTTGTATCCCCATAAAGGAAGATCCCTAATTTCATTTTCTGTTTGTTGATTTTTTCTAGGTACGATGGTTCCTGAGATATAGCTGAGGAGCCACGAAAAATCCCGAAAAAATGGATACAAGTTTATTAAAAATAAAATATCGTGAAAAATCGTTCGAAAATTTTGCCTCGAAAAATGTATCCCTCCTTTTCCTGGGACATCTTCTCACTGAATTTTTTGCCTACAGGAATCGATACTGAATCTCCAGATAAAACAAAATGAGACAGAAATACAACGTAGACTGTTTCAGTACTGTAGACACTAAAAGCTTAAATGGACAAAATGGTAGAAGTGGATGGAAGTCCTAGATTGTATCAAAGCAACAAAATGAAATATCTAGAGACTCAGTAAACCTCAGGACATGGTTAACCCAACGACCATCCGAGATTCTCTATAATCTCAGGTGGCCGGAGCCCGCGGTGCCTACTGGGATCAATAGTGAATCTCCAGATAAAACACAATGAGACAGAAATACATACAACCTAGACTGTTTCAGTACTGTAGACACTAAAAGCTAAACTAGACGGAGTGGTAGGAGTGGATGGAAGGGCCTAGATTGTATCAAAGCAACAAAATGAAATATCTAGAGACTCAGTAAAGACCTGGACATGGTTAACCCAACGACCATCCGAGATTCTTTATGATCTCAGATGGCTATTCTGTTAAATATACTGTATGTATTTTTTTTCAAACGAGATTAGAAACATTTCTTGTTCATTTTATGATTTATACTAATCACAACTTCTAAAAAGACATTTTCAAAGCTGGCTAAACCCAATAACTACCGGATAGTCTCCAAACCACAAAAGCACAAAGATCATGCTCTTATGAATTATTCCCTTCCCACTTCCTCCAATCAGTTTTTGTACTTTCTTCTAGTGGTGGCTCGGTGTCGAGAGGCGTTTGGAAAAAGTGGTCGCAAAAAGTAATTGCCGTGGTTCTTGTGTCCACTTTTCATCGCCGTGGTTCTTCCTCCCGAGAAGAGCACAACTGGCCCAGAATGAAAGAAATATTACAAATCACATAGAGACACAGAGAGGATTCTGATCGGTTGTAACATCACACTGAAAACATAGAGAAGAGTTATCCGGAGAAGCATAAGTGACCAGTGGTGTTCTGCTGACTTTTTGTACCGGGAAAAATGTACAGAAATTTTCTTTGTCATCATATGTTTTATCTCAAGAATGTTTGCTATTTGTTTGCCCACTAATCATTTGGATGGTTACCGTTTCAAAGAGGGTTTCAAGTGTAGCAAGTGGAAAGAAGAACGGTTTGTTCTCTCTTTCCAAGAATCTCTTTTGTTCTCGGATTATCTTTTTGAAGAAGGATTGATTATTCAGGATTTTGATTCTTAGGTATAGAAATCCTTGGAACTATGGAATATGAAGAATACAATTTTCTTACGGCTTAGAGATAGTTCTTCGTTTTCTACTTCGAACATTTTGCATTCCACAGTTTTGGTTTATCTTGACTTTTACCGTTGGACCTCTAACTTTTAACTTTGAGCCCATATTTATTTTCATATTACAGATATCAAAAAGTTGTCAACTGATGAATTGTTTGTCATAACAACACGAAAGCCTTATCAGTTGACACAATTTTGATAAAATAGGATCCAAAAAATTAAGTCACTTCTATTACAGGTTTTACGGTATATGAAAGTTCTTATAATAGAAATTGTCATTTCCTTTCAAATGGTCAAAAGCTCCATAGTCAGATCTCGCATCTAATGACAAAGAAATTTTATTATGAAATATCAAAAATTATGAAATCGTTTTGATTAGAGGAAAGTGCATTATCTAGATCAGTTTATTTTTGCTTGAAAATCGTTGAATTAATTTTCCCGCTATCTGAAATTTTTCTCATTAAAAACATTTGAACTTCAATTTTCATGATTGGTAATTTTGAGCGAATTTCAGTTTTCTTTTGAAGTTTTAAACTGGAAGGAAATCACCGTCAACTTTGAGCTAGTATATCTCGGCTCCCATACGAGATATCAAAAAGTGGCTAACTGAGAAAATAATGGTGATATTAGGATAAATTTTTTGTCAGTTTACCACATTTTGAAATCTTCTACAGAAACTGAGATATGGACTCCATTCTTGAATCATTTAAAGCAAATTTGAATAGGAGACGTCTGATTTGGTAAACTTAATCTTCTAAAAATAAAGAGTCAAATTCCCCAAGACCTTCAAGTGACTGATTTTTTAGTCATTGAAATTTCACCACCCATGCTTCGACCAACATTTTTCCATGATTTTCCAAGTTGCTGATCCTGCAAGAACTCATCTGAAATCAATCTAAATCATTTGACCCTATTACTTTTGCTGACTCATCTCACATTGTTTTTAGTATCATCTCATCTCAAAGAGCATCTGCATTCACAGAATCAACTGAGCAGCTGACTTTTCGATGGTCCACTCCACCCCATCCATTTCACTCAATCAGTTCCATTTGACTCATCGCTTTTTGCCCTCTCTCTTTCACCTCATTTATAAGTGTTTTTACACCGAATTACTTATTTATTATCAGAAAATGTTCTCACTTTCTTTTATCCCGTTCGTCACTTTCTGTTTCACTTTTTTTTTGTTTCTGCTTCCTTCCGACCGTTGACAAAAGGCTCAAGCCAAATGAATTTTGAGTAAACATGAGCTCCCGCAGAGCTCTCTGTGAGCCGGCATATCCTTCGACCAAAGCAACTGATTTTTGCCGATTGGCCAACGGAGAAAAGATATCATGTGGGCACATTTTGCCAATCAAAAAATTGCTTTTCTCATTTTAAACTTCGTTTTTGTTTCTGATTGTTTTTTTTGGAACACTGCTAATTTGTCTCTAGATTTCAACAACTCAACTTTAAAAAAAATAGATTCGGCATGCTCATTCCTGAACTTAGTTTTTGGGCTCCAAAGATATAGGTCAACGCTGGACCACCTCACAAGTGGCAAAACAATCTTTTACTGCTCTACAATAGTATCTTTCACTTTTTCGATTGTTCTGAAATTTACACAGTATACAAAACAACACTAGAGCTTTATTTTGTAGTAGACAACTTTTTGAAAAAAAAACAAGTCCTGGGGAGATATTCGATTGGAGGCGAGGGAGCAGGAGCCGAAGAAGGGGTGCCCCTTCCACGTAGCGTACCTTCTCATGATTTGATTTTTTCAACATTTTGGACTACAAAAAATGAGATTTAGTTTTGTTTAAAATATTCTGAAAATTTCAAAAATTTCTATTGAGGTTGAGGTACTCTAATAAATTTTTGAAATTTTCGTTTTTTTTCAGCTCAAAATTGAAAAAGGATTGACCAGAAAATTTTCGGTTGTTCTGAAATTTTCAGAGTAGGCAAAACAAATTTAGAGCTACAGTTGTTTTTCAAAAACCCAATTTAAAAAAAGGTTATTTTTCAATCGAGAAGCAACACCCGCTATCAATGATTAGCAATAGTAATTCCTCAGTCACCCGCATTAAGTGATTGCCGATTGATTTCAGTTAACCCAGAGATTGTCGTTGTTTTTCATGTAATTGCTTATATTTTGTTTCTTCTTCATTTAAAAATTGTTCCTTAAAATTGATTTTTAGATTTTACTAAAATGGCAAGTCCTGAATTAGCTGAAAAGCTGAAGAAGCGTCTGGAACAACCAGATGAACCGAATTTGAATCAAGCACCACCACCAGTGGCACCAGTGATTCCGCAGAAAGTGAGTTCTTTTTTAGAATTTCAAGAGAAGATAATTCCAAATTTTTCAACCTTAAACCGAAATAGTATGATTTTTGTGGCTCCAGGCTATTTTAGAACATCATGGAAAATATTTAAAGTTTTCGCACAATAATGTAGATCCCTTTTCTTCAGATAGTCGAGAATCCATACATTCCAGTCGCTGACACTTCAATCGACGATTTAATTTTCAAAGCATTGGAGAAAAAAGAAGAGAACAACAACAATCAATGCAAACCATTAGAGATCAAAACAGAACCAGAACAATCGACATCTCCTCTTCCGATGCATCAACATCAGACAATTGCCGATCCAAGAAGTCCTCCTCCAAAGAGATCAATTCAAGAACTTTTGGAAATGGAAAAACTAGTAAATGAGCAACAACTACAAATGGCTCCAGTACCAAAAACGCCAGTAATGGTGATCACAAAAGGAGCATTTCCAAGAAGTTCCTCTCCAAGAAGACAGCAATTTGTAAGAGAGAATGAGGATGGAAATGAGTTAGAGAAGAGATTAGCAGCACAGAGATTGAAAAAATATAATGAAGAAATGGATAATCTTGTACAGAAACCTGTTGATGTGCTCGACGAAATTATGAGAAGTGTGAGTTTTTTTCAATTATTCGGGGAGAAGGAAATGAAGGGGAGAGGTGTCTAGGGAAAAAGGATTGAATAACAAATCATAGTTGTTGAGATCCAATATGCATTGAATAAAAAGGTAGTAGGGGGAAAATGTTCTATACTACTTTTTTCTGCTTTTCTCATTTTTTCTGACAATTCTCCAATTTTCGTTAGTGCAAAGCTTGCTGTTAAATATCTATGTTTTTAAATATCTGAATTCGATTAAAATACAGAGGACAATTGTCTACAATTTTTTATCGAGTCTATCTTTTTTCAAACCTTTTTGCTTGCATCATGCTTTTCAATTTTTTTCCATTTCAGCCTCCCCCACCGCCAACATCTCCTCCACAATTGCCAACAAGTCCACCACCACCAGCTCCACCTGCAAGAATCGCCAGTGTTCGATCTGACGAATCGATTGAAGAAGAAGAACGTCGACGAAAAGAATCAGAAGAGACAGCTTCATTCGAAGAGCTAGAAGCTGAAATCATGAGAATCTCGAGAAGTCCAGTACCACCACCAGTTTTTTCCATCCCTCCACCACCACCTCCAACTATTCCACTTCCTCAAATTCCTCAAATATCTCCATCACCTCCATCTCCCCGTCCCACAAGTGTTCCACCTCCAATTCCAAGTCCTGGACCTTCTGAAGATGTGAATATGGACGAACTGATTGAATCATTCTCAGATTCTGTGATTATTAATCCAACTTCTCCACCTCCACCACTGCCACCTCTTCGAGAATCCTCTTTGGAAGCTGCTGAAGTAACTCCGGAAGATCCTGCTCCTGAGAAGATGACTGAAGAAACTCCACAGGTTGTCGAAAAAACTTCAGAACTTCCAATCACAAACGAACCCACAGCAGTAGCTCCCGCTGCTGCTCCACCGGCATCAGAAGAGCACAAGGTTCCAGAAGTTTCTGCATACGCTGTATCAGAAATTGTCAAAAACATCGATGCTGTAGAGGATCGTCCAAAAGCACCAACTCCAATCAGAGATTCATCTCTTCCACCTCCACCGCCACCGAAACCAGAGACGCCATTAGCTATACGAAGGGCTGGTCCAATTCCAACTCCACAACTTATGGAAATGATTCATCAGGAAGATTTGTGAGTTTTTCCCCATTTCTTCGGTACCAGCATGTTCCAAAACCTACAAATAATATAAAACCCTTCAAAAAAATTGGTTAGATTATTTGTTCCTAATCTCAAATTGCTTCAACAGACAGACTAATGTTGACAATACTCTCTAACAAAAAATTCTTCATTTTGATAACAATGACTCATCCCTCAAAATCCATTAGAAACAAATTTCCAATCAATTTCTTCAATTTCATTTTCAGCGCCCGTCCAGCATCGCCGACATCCTCGTCTATTTCCCACAGCCGTCCACAGTCTCCAGCGGTTCCCAAGGTACGATTCACTTTTTTTCTCTGAAACATTTTCCTCTGTATTTCAAGAAACCATCAATCGTCAGTCCATTGGGTCTCCTGTGTGATCCAAATTTGTCTCACGAGAAGCCGAAATCTGAGAAAACCGATGAAGAGCCAGCGAAAGAAATGGATGCCCCAGTTCCAGTTGCACCAGTAGATGAAACTGAACTCACAGACGCGTTGGAGAGAAGGAATAAGATTAATGAAGGTTAGTTTTTTTTTCTATTCAAATGTCATGATGTCTTTAGAAAACTAAAAATGAAGTCATAACTTTGAAGTATTTGCCAGTTTTGTTCCAGTAAAATTTGCAGCATAATACCGTAAACACTCTGATAGAAGGGGGCAAAACCTTTTAAAACATTTAAAAAATCAAAATCTCAGAAGTCGTCCGTTTCTGGAAATTCCTAAAAGGTTCTCCGATTTTATTGAATTCCTCCTCAAGCTGAAACTTCAGTACTACCGCTTAAAGAGTCCCATAAAAGAACTGCACCCCCCCCCCAAGACACTTTATAATTTTTTCTCCTGATCAGTGTTAACCGATCAACCCTCAGAAACTGACCACTTGACGACACACCCGGAGGATGGCGTTTCAATTCTCCCAAGGGGTCGTTCTCTATGCAAATTTTCTTATTTATTTTTCTCCTAAACTTCGTTCCGAGACAAAAAAGGGGGAAAATATTGTGCGGGCAAAGCGTAAAGTGTCTAATCAAATGTCAACATATCACTCGCTTTTTTTCCGGCTCTTGGTCATCTCATTTCCTATTTTTTCTGCCCTAGTTTTCTTTTTAATTGGAATTTGTAAAATTAGAATGTCCGAAATTCATGGTGAACGTCTTCTTGACCGCATCCTATGTCCGCATCATAAACAAAAGTTGATAGTCTCTGCGTCTCTTCTCTTTCCACACTCTCTCGTCAAGTTCTTGTTGATCAGCGTCAAATCGTAATTACTCCTCACATTTTCACTATGTTTCACCTTGTTCCATAACATTAGTCATACTCTGATTCATTTTTAGATCTTGTTGCGAAAAAAAATGTGTCGCATAATGTAACCACGCGCAAAGTCGGGCGTACTAGACTTGTCTGTTTTTATTGTTCCGAAATCGTTGCTTCAAGTTGTACAGTATAGAACTACTACAGATAATCAAAATTTCTAGTTCTTCCTTTATCTTTTTTATTCCTAGTTTATTTAGCTCTGATCTTTTTTATCCTTGTTTACATGTTACTTTTGAATCAGACCTCTCCTATTTTATTTATTACTGAAAACAAATAAGAATTGTACGAAATAGCTCTTTTTCTTAAATGAGCAGTTCTGTAGATCGTACGACAGTTTAGGATTACTGTACTTTTGTCTGTAGACCTACATCCAAATAAGTTTCTATTTGACCTACTAATACAAAATTCCTTCTGCTAAATTTGATCTTGCATCTCTTCGCTCTCTCCCTATTTTTATCCATTCAAATCTTTTTGAGCGCCAAAAAAGGACTAGTCATCAACAAGGTCGTTCATTTCTCTCTCGTCTCCTCTCTACTTCCTTTTTCTCTTCTCCTCTTTTCAAATAGTTTTTCTCCAAATTCAAATTCGGATTTTCAGCAGTGATCATGTTTGATGAAAACTTTTCTAAATTCGGTAAGATTATTTTTCAAAATTGGAAAATCGTGGGATTGTCTGAAACTTATAAAGTCCTAGGATCATGAAAATTTCGAAACTTCATAACTAAAACTGAATTTTTTTCCAGGCGAGAATGTGCCATTGAAGATGAACAAGAAAATTTCGTTGTACGCCGAGTTCAGCGAGTTCTCCCGAAAACAGATTCAGTATTTCGTGGACACATTCAAAAAGTATGACGAGGATCAGGACAATTTTATTGATTTCAACGAGCTTAAACGGATGATGGAGAAGTTGGGAGAGGCACAAACTCATATCGCATTGAAAGATCTTATCAAGAAGGTTAGTTTGGAGAAATCTCGCTCTACTGGATTACTAGTGTGCAATAGAGCGCAGTTTTCAGTACACCTAGACTTAAAAAAAAATTTTCCAATTCCAGGTCGACGAGGATCAAGATGGCAAAATTTCTCAACGAGAATTTCTTCTGATTTTCCGATTGGCGGCCAGCGGAGAATTGGCGTGTTCCGAAGTGTTCAAGACGCTCGCCGAAAGTGTGGACGTCTCCAAAGAAGGCGTGCTCGGAGCAGCGAACTTCTTCCAGGCCAAGGTAAAATCTCTCTTCATATTTAGAATCGAAATAAAATCAATATTTCCAGATTGAGGAACAAACGAAACTGTCTAGATTCGAAGAAGAAATGAAAGAAGAAAAAGAAGAGAAGAAGCGTCTGGAAGAAGAGAAAAAGGCTCGTCGAGAGAGTTCCTGGCCAGCAAATCAATCTTCCATTGATCCTTCATGTCCCTTCTGATTCTCTAGAATAATCTAACCATTTAATAATCATCCCTCCCAATTCACTGACAAATTCTAAAAGTTTAACTTTTTATTCCAACTCATCCCATCCCATCGTTCCTTTTTCATGTCATTTTGATCCGTATTTATTATCTTCTGTACAAGTTTTTTACCATTTGTGCTCATCATTTTCCCACCCTCTCAATCCCCCCATTTTGATTGTCTTGTCTCGTTCATTCATTCATCAATTTTGATCCTTTTTCAGAAATACGTAATATGAAAAGCGTAATAAAAATGTTTTCCAGAAAAAATCGACTGTTTTCTAAAAATTTTCCGGTTGAAATCCATTTTAAAAATGGATCTGTGCCTTAGTAAAATAAATAATGGTAACTTTCTCAACAGTAGGCAGAGTTTCTGATTGCTTTTCAAGCTTGGAGATTACTGTAGCTTTTTTTGAAATTTGTTTGTTAAAAATATTAAAATTTGGAAATAAATGAAAGCCGAAATTGGTGAGACAGTAATTCAGGAAGCTACAGTAAAACCTGTAATAAAAGGGTCCCACACTGTCAAATTTCAGCTCATTTATCTTGGTTTCTATGAAAGATATAAAAAATGTGTCAACTGAGGGAAAACTTCTGATATTATGGTAAGCAATTTATCAGTCGACAATTTTTTGATATCTTTAACAGCAACCGAGATAAATTGACTCAAAGTTAAAAGTTAGAGAACCTTTCTATTACAGGTTTTACGGTAATTTTCAAAACTGAAACTTCATTCATGATGGAAAATAAAAACTGAAATAAAATAAACAGTCTAAAATATAATTTATAGATGATCGAAAACATAGTTCAGAATATAATTTATATGTGATTTTGATACCGAACACCTGTAATAGAAGGGCCCCCATACTGTCAAGTTTTAAATCAATTATCTCAACTCCTATGCAATATATCAAAAATTGGTCATCTGATAAAATACCTCTGATGTTATAATAAACATTTTATCAATTGACAGCTTTTTTATATCTTCCACAGGAATCGAGATAATTCAGCCGAAAATTGAAATTTAGGGGGTCCTTCTATTACAGGTTTTACGGTAATAAATTTCAAAACTAGACTATTTTTTCTGATACATTCATCTATTTATAGTCGGTTACTACCGTTTCTATCCTATACATTCCGTTCGCTCCGTTCCTCAACTCATCACTTGAATGTACACAAATTGCTCATGCGAAAACAAATCAACAAGTCCACAACACATCTTGACACCTTCCTCTTTTTCTTCTGCTGGGTGGATGCAAATGTGGGACGTCTCCTCCGGTGGGTCCGGAGACCCACTAAAAGCCATCAGTAGTAGAGGTCCGTCCGTTTTCTCACACTTCGCAGAGTCTTCTTCTTCTTTGCTCTTTTCTGTCCTTTCTCTTTTCCTCATTCATTTTTTGAGATTTTCCTTTGTAATTATTTATGATTCCTGGAAGTTCTCCGTGATCCAGATTACATGAAGAACAACTCATGATCTGGAAAAGAATATACCTTTCGCAGTTTCTTGGTTCATGATTTTCCAGTTGGGCGGTCCTCTTCATCTTCCAATTAACACATTTTGGCCATTTGTGTGGGAGTGTGGAAGTGGACATCGTCTTTTTGGTTAGTAGTCGAGACAAGGGATCCTTATTGATACTAGGATACACCATCCGAGAATTTTGGGAGTTTTGGAATTCATATGTAAACTTTCAGATATTCGAAAAAGGGGTTAATCTTTAAATTTTGAAATTGAGATTCATTATGTTACAGGCTAGGATCATCGGCCTAGATAGTGCTGGCCCAGCACTGCTGGAATTAACCAGAAACTTTGAATCTCATCATCAGAAAGTTGCAAAAAGCTGAAACAAATTTCATACTCTAATTCTAATATAGGAGAAAAATATTCATTTATTCATTTAATTACAACTCAAATCAATTTAAGTTATCATTAATCCTTAATTAGTTCGTTGCCTCCTTGCTTGTCGTTGCTGATCCTCCAGCCACGTCCGACATGCCGTGACGATGGGAGTACATTGACAAGAGGACCCCTCCTGATGTCTACCTCTCAGAGCACCAAGGGATTCGAACTCCTTCGTTCGATTCCCTCGATAGTCCCACAACCGCACACGCCATCCCATGGGCTTCATGGACGCTGACGGGTGAAGGCATAGAAGACGTATAGGAATTTATGGTCATTTGGAGGTGAAGAGGCTACGGAGTGGAAGACTTTGATGGGGTACATAAGGTACTAATGATATACAAATCTGTGTTGACCAAATAGCTCCTGACGATGAGAAATTCTGAACCTTAAAACTTCAGATACACAGAATCCATAGAACTCATCAAATCTCGGTTTCAAGACATCGCAAATCTCAATTCAATCACTTAACCACCCTCCTTCATATAAATTCCAAGAAAGAATAAAAAACGAGGACTCGAGAGAAAAACGCTTCCGAATGCTCTCGAATTTCCAAAATTTCCTTCTACTGCTTCCAGAAGAAGAAGAAAAAACAAACAGACACATTCGAAAATTCGCACATTCCCCGTCTTCTTCTTCTTCGTAACCCCGCGGCACAATTCATCAAAAATTATGTCTCATCCTCTAAGATTCTTCATTTTTCCTTTAGTTTTCTCGGACGTCTTCTTCCACTCAAATAACTAATGATCCTGAAAAATTTCCCACGCCGGTTTCCGATTCTCCGATATTTCTCCTCCGTGTCATCAGATGAGATATGAGTGTTTTTTTTTCAATTTTACAAGCATATGGGTGGCCATTTCCATTTCTGCATATAATCCATATTTTGATTGCATTTCAAGTGTTTCTCTCTCTCTCTTTCTCTCTCTCTCTCTCTCTCTCTCTCTCTCTCTCTCTCTCTCTCTCTCTCTATCTCTCTTTCTCTCGATCTATCCGTTTATATTCTGTATTCTGTACCGCCCCCGGGGTCACTCAAAGTATGTGTTAGGGATATGAAAAATAAAGGAAGAGCGAAAAGGACAACATACACACTCAATCTGTGCTTGTATTGCTCACTCACAAATTGGATTGACATGTCAAGCATGATAGGCTATTTATGTTTGGATTTGTGTATGCGGATGTATTTAGAATATTATTATTATTGTGAGTTGATAATCTATTAGAAAAGTAAGTACTGTATCCTTTGGGTAAACTATTCCGAAAACTTTGCATGGTACTTACTTTTCTAACGCTAGTCCGGATACCGTCTGTTTGGATGAGGTACCGTTTTTATTGATCCTTCTTTTACCAATAAAAATTTCAGTCATTATAGTGATAGACCCTCGTTTATAACTAAATTTCTAGAAAACTTCGCATAGTTTCAAATTATCAGAAACTCTTGAGGACTAGAACCAGGAAAAAAACTTCTCGAAGTTTCAAACGTTCAACTTTCGCAAAATTTCTGAGTTTTCAAAGTAAAACTTCCGTTTTAATAACTTTACTTCATATAATCGTACGAGCCAGACTTTTTTTTCAGAATTTTCAATGCCCGGTTTTTCAGCTCGGATTTTCAGCGTTTTTCCTGTTTTTTTTACAAATAGAAAACCCGAGTCAATTAAAAATATATAACAGTTCTGTCAGATGATAAGCTCGCCAAGAATGAAGTGTCATTGAAACTTTTTTTCGCAAAAACATTTGAAAAAATTTCCGATTTTTAGTACTTGATCGATTTTCCAGTCGTTTGTGTTTTATTTATTTGCCCTATTAATACTGTAATTCATTGGCTTTTCATGATTCCAGAACTATACAAAATTTCAAGCCAAAACTTCCTGGGTTTCATGCATCCATTCTATTTGTTCCATCCATTCTATCCTATCTTCCGATCTTCAACCCTTGATCCATTCAAAAACAAGTCATCATAATCTCGTATTCCAGAACTCCTTACCAATTCTAAGACCATTTCAAAATCGTCTTTTGATTTGAAATTCCAGCCTTCCTACTTTCTTCTCTTCCTCCTCTTTTACTCGAAAAACTTGCACTCTCTTTCTTCCAAAAATCAGTTTGCTCCCTCATCCTTATTCTTCTTCTTCTTCTCCAGAAATCCAATTTTATGTCTGTGTTGAAACCTTTTCCGTGTGAAATCAAATCAAATCTCAAAGACATTCGTTTGCCAATCACAACCCAAAAAAAAAGACTTCCCAGTGTTCTGTAGCAAACGTATTATTGATAAAAAGAGTACTAACAAGTTGTGTCTTTTGCACAACTTCCCGCCACCGCCATACAGTACTTCACACTTATTTACCGTTCAATTCTGCCCGCGTCTCTTCGTCAGACACACTATTTCGCTGATATCTCTTCAGATTTGGGTCATTCAAATAAAATAGAGCACAGACTGAGACTCCCCGGGCATTTTGTACCGAAAAGTATCTTTCCCGAAATTTCTTCTTTTCCGATTCCACGCCTCGTCGGACACCTCTTTTGTTTTTTTTTTCGGTGTTACAAAGTGAAAAAAGAATGATTCTTTTCCCTTTAGAAGATCCTTCTCTTCTCTATCTTCTGGAATATTTGATTTGTGAATTTTTTGCACATTCTTCTTCTCTCTTTTTTTTGCGAAGGACCCCTTCTTCCCCCTTTTTTTTCTCATCAATCACATTATCTCAAGAGCATTCCACAATGTCCTTTTCCTTCTCCATTTCAGTAATTAACACCAATCTTAGTTATATACTACTACTACCGTATTCTTTTCACTTTCAAAATTAAATAGATGCCATCAGTCGTATTCAGACAGAAAAAGTCCAATTCAGACTAATGGCATGCACTTTCGTAGATGGATTCTCACATGAAACCATATGACTCTTTCATGGTAATTAGGTATCATTATCTAGTACGGCACTTTTGGTAAGCAGGATAGGGCTCTAGAGAATTCATACACCAGGATTACTGTAAGAACCAATCCTACAATTAGTACAGATAATTAAAGGTGAGATGAGGTTGGCAATATAATGCTGAAAATTAAATAAAGGAATTTTAAAATTTTAAGAATTTGCAATTCAGTTTAGCAAATATTTCACTCGGTTTTTCTGAGAATTGTTTTCTATTTTCTGAAAATTTTAGAGCAGCATCAAGATCATGATGATAGTTTCAAATTCAAATCGCTTGAGCATTTCCAAAAGATATCATAAGTTTTCGGGTATTAGAGCTCCATAATTATTCAATTCTTTACAGTTTTATGAAATTCAAACCAAATTTATGCACCATTGAGATCTACAAAAATAACTTCGACTTCCCAAAACTCTTTTTTTCATTTTTTGCTCCATCTCCTCTCCCTATTCCCCCTGTCATGTTTCTTCTATCAGTACATCAATCAATCGTTGGCGGCGACGACAATGTGTCTATTTGTACTAAATCTCACGTCTTGGATAAACTTTGTCATTTTACAAGAGAGACAAAAAGAAAACAAGGAAGATCAACATAATGATGCGACAAGAGACAAAGCTCTCATCCCTCTCTCTTCTTTGCTCTATCTTTTTGCTGTGCACCTGTTAACGATCTGGCATCAAGCCAGATCGTTTCTTTCAAGCTTTTGCAATTCCTGTTTTGGAGAAGACCGCTATTCTTTTCTGTATTCATTTTTAATAATTAGTTCCAATTTGAAATTGTAACCAAAAGAAACTACCGTTTTTCTTTCATTTTCAAAAAGTAATAGAGGCCAATTGTCGTAATGGCCTGCACTTTAATGGGAATACATAGCGATAAGGCTCTCATGATTTCGAAAATTGGTCATCATTAGAATTATTTTCTGCAAAACTTTTCTGCCAAGACAGGGAAAAAGATGTTGTAGATCAGGATTACTGTGAGACCGTGTGAAGTACAAAATCCTAATACTAGGTTGGTGCATAAGTTTCTTCCGATTTTGAAGGCTCAACTTTGAAAATCGATAACTGTTTAGTGGGACGGTTTTCTCCTATTATTTTTTCGCACGTTCAGTTGGTTGGAGAATCTGATTATTGTAGATAAGAAGTGGGTAAGTTACTCTACCAATGTGCGAAAGGGTCAGTTAATTGACAAAGAATAGCTGGGGGATGCAAGGTGTTTGGAGGTCTTTCAAAGGGTGGTACAAAGGTTGAGAACTCGGAAAATGAGAACTGCTACAAATAAGAACTCGTACGAATAACAACTCGTAAAATAAAGGCCAAAACATGGATTTTTTGAAGAATCTCGAAGTATTGTGAAGAACAAGACGGTTTCGAAACTATTTTTCTAAAAAAGTTGGATCCTGAGCCGGAAATTAGAGCCGGTAAACTGAGTTCTCATTTTCTAATTCTCATTTGTAGCAGTTTTCACGCAAAAAGTTCTTAACTTTTGTACCACCTTTCAAAGGAATGGAGACTGGTAACATTAAGATGAAGATACCACTATAACTGTCGCATTGTGTAGTTCCTAATTAGAGAAATTGATTCTGGCAGTCGAATCGAAACAAGGAGAAAAGACGAAAGGTGTTCCATGCACGACGATGTGAAATCGCACCATATTTGAGCGATCAACTAAAAATTCATGTCGTTCGGCCATACTATTCTTTTGCAACCGCCGTAATTTCCGGATGTTGCCCTTACAGAAAAATGATAGTTTGAGGATCTCAAACGCCATCTTGATAGAAAAGACTTCAAAGACGTGAAAAGATCACATAAAAAAGGAGTTGACACGCCTTTTCAATCGCATCCGTCGTCGTTCTCGGCCGATGGAACCAAGGAATTACCGGAGCGTTGCCAGACAACTATCGACTTTCATTAATCTAGCCCCCTCTGCTTTGAGAAAAATTTGATCAAAAATTTTCCCGAAATCGGAAGAAACTTATGCACCAACCTAATACAAGTTCAGAATAAGGTTAACAGGCCCCTAAAAAATATTAAACACATATTTCCAACATTCGGAACTTTTGATTCTCAGAAAGTTTGTTTTTGTAGTGCACCACTTTTTTTCCTGTAATCGCTAAACTTTTTTCTAAACGAAAAATTCTGAACATCTTTTTAAATATCTGAAGTACCGTACATGCTTTTTAGAAGTCAACCCAAACCGTCAACTTTGAGCTAAAATATCTCGATTTCTATGACAGATATAAAAAATTGGTCAACTGATAGAATATTGCTGATTTTACAATAAATAATTGGCCAGTTGACAAATTTTCGATATCTTGCACGGGAATCGAGATAATTGGGATCAATGTGCACTTAAAGGATGATCATTAGTTGTGGGATCATTAGAGCACATTTGGTAAGAAATGTTCAACTTTACTATCGAAATTGGATTTTGATACTGTAGATAGACTGTATCCATCTATAAAGTTTTTTTTTTTTTCATTTTAGTTTTTCATTAAATTCGGCTTTGTGGATAGCTACTTCTAAATTCCAAAAAATTGTTTTCCGGACTCTTGTCTCCGAACCCTTCACTCAAAGAAAAAAACAAATCCAAATTTGATGTTTTCAATGTTGCGTAGAGCCATCATCCAGATATATACAAATCTCCCGTTTTTTGTCTCTTTCATTTTTTTTCTTTTTTGAACCATCCTTTATACATCTATCCCTTTTTGTCTCCTTTTGTTTCTGACTTTCTTTTGGTTTTTCGAATTTCTAATCTCTCATTTTATTTTGTTTGTATTTTTGCAGTGTCGTCTGTGCGGGGGGACCCTGAAAAAAAGATACACAAAAATTGGTGTCCCCAAAAAAAGAAAAGATAAACAAAAAACAAAACGAAGAGCAGAAGACGACGGAATCGCCGATGAAACCCAAACTTGTGTTCTTGCCATTTCTCATTTTTATAACTGTTTTTGTAAGTTTTTTTGGAATATCAACTGCATTTGGATGACCATAGATTACCCAAGAGAACTTTCCAGATCGAGGAATCAGAAGCCGTTCATCCGGTTGTTCTGGAAACGAAACTAGGCGATATTCGAGGCAACGAGTTTTTCTTTTTATCAAAAAAGATTCGGACGTTCTTTGGGTGAGTTGGTGCAGGTTTTCTTGAAGTTTCAGATTTTAAAAATATTTATACTATTTGAAGACTTTATTGAACAATCGAAAATTTCAAAAATTTTCTTTGTTTTCAGAGTACCATTCGCTGAGCCCCCAGTCGAAGAATTCCGATTCCGAAAGCCGCGAGAAAAGAAGCAATGGAAGAAACTATTCGATGCGACGAAACCGGCAAACGCCTGTTTTCAAACGAGAGATAACTACAACACGAGTTTCTGGGGAAGCGAAATGTGGAATGCAAATACTCAAATCAGCGAAGACTGCCTTTATCTGAATATTTGGGCTCCGGCTGATGCGTAGTAAGTGCTCCGGCTGATGCGTTTTGATCTCGAAGGCTCTAGTTTGAAATGTTTCAGCAACCTGACAGTAATGGTATGGTTTTTTGGTGGTGGATTCTATTCAGGAAGTCCTTCATTGAGCATTTACGATGGAAGGGTGAGCTTTTCAATTTATAGAAATTCGAACTTCAAATCTTTTAAAATTGAAGAGAGTCAAATGCCTTTTAGGTATCTGAGCTCCCTGAAAAATCTTCTCCAAAAGATGACCCTGTTCATATCTAGCAAAAAGAATGCGGTCTTTCTCAGAATTCGTCAGGGGAACGTTTAATTGCTGGGTATCTTTTGTTTTGCGCTTATTGGAAACCATGGAAACGGAGATGTATTTTCAGGTAGAGACTAACTGAAAAGGAGTGCTGAAAAACGATTTTTATAGATTTGAAAGTGAGCCAAGGCAGAATTACAGATTGTAAATGACGTAGAGGAGTTTACTTTAAGATAGAATAAAACTTGATATTCTTTGCCATATATCGTAAGACCTACAATAGAAGGGTCACTATTTAACTTTGAGTTGACAACATTTATCTCGGCTCTTGTGAAAAATATGAAAAAGTTGTCAACTGATGAAGTGTTTATCATAATACCACAAAAATTTTATCAGTTGACACATTTTTAATATTTCTTACAGTAACCGAGATAAATTAGGTCAAAATCAATCTTGTTCTATGAGAGTCCCGCAAATGTTGCAGTAGCTAAATTTGAAATTCCGGAATTACAAATGAGAATTTGAACTTCGGGTTCTTTTTAAACGGATGAGTAAACCTCAGCTTTTTGGATTACTGTACTTCATTTTTAAAGGGGGACCCTATTTTTATTGCATTAAAATGTGTTAAAAGTTATCTATTTTCCGAATATTATTGCGAAAAAATTCAAAGTAAATCCGAAATCTCCGAAAAACGGCGTTGAAAAGGAAGAAAATTCAAAAAAAGGTGCCGCCGGGGGACGAGGATTTTCAGTGAGAAACCTAGGCCACGGCAGCGGGTGCCTTTCCTACGTGGCAAATTTTCCGGATTTTTTTCAATTTCATGTCCGGCAGGTAAAAAACGTTAAAAACCACTGTCGGCGACTTGAAAAAAGGTTGTCAGGTGCCGTGGCCTAGGTTTCTCACTGAAAATCCTCGTCCCCCGGCGGCACCTTTTTTTGAATTTTCTTCCTTTTCAACGCCGTTTTTCGGGGATTTCGGACTTTCTTTGAATTTTTTCGCAATAATATTCGAAAAATAGATAAATTTTAACACATTTTAATGCAATAAAAATTTTTGGTCGGAGTCCCCCTTTAATTCAATAATCAGCAAAAACAATGATTTATCTAAACATGAAATGTATTTCAGGCCCTGGCTGCGACCCAACATGTAATCGTTGTAAATATCAACTACCGTCTCGGACCATTTGGATTCCTTTATTTAGACCACCCAGATGCACCTGGAAATATGGGACTTTTGGACCAGGTGACCCCCTTCTCTTGCTCTTTTCAAAAAAAGGGACCCTCCTCCCCCACCTCTATTATTATGCTTTTTCTCACTCTCAAACATATTCACACCCTCACACTCTTCCTCAACAAAGTGCACGAAACATTTGTCCCTTCAAAAACTTGCTCTTTTCTCTTCTTCTTCTTCTTCTTTTTTCTTCTATTCCGTATGTGTACTCCTCCCCCTTTGGAGAGTAATTTTTCACATCGTCTAACTCACTTTCATGCCCTCCTCTCGCATTTTCTATCTCTTCCCCGTCCTATCTTCTTTTTTGTGGAGCATTCAGTTCTTTTTTCTATCCATTCTGAAATTTTTGGGAACCCTTTTGATTAGGTCTCCGGAGACTGTTGTGTTGTGTCACCATTATTTCCCCTTTTTTCAGCAATTGGCGCTTCATTGGATTCGTCAAAATATTGTGTCGTTTGGCGGAAATCCGGACAAGGTTCAGTGTCTTTTTCTTCCTTTCGTTTTCCAAGGATTTCCTAGTTTTTCTCTCTCTAAAAGTTCCTTTTCTTGTAGGTCTCAGTTTTCGGCCAGTCCGCTGGTGCTGCCTCAATCGTCGCTCATCTGATTGCTCCCGGCTCCCGAGGGTATGCTAAATTATTCAAATTCAGAGTCCATTTTTGAACATTTTCGACATTTTAGACTTTTCAAGAACGCAATTCTTCAGTCGGGAAGTCTTGAGAACACCTGGGCCATAAACTCTCCTTTTCGAGCAAAGCAAAAGTCAGAAAAGCTGTTGGAACTTGTTGGTTGCAATAAGACTACGGTAGGTGGTTTGGATTCAAAGTTTTTTGGCTTGATTCTGGTGCTGGAACCGTGAAATAGCGCATGATAAGACTATTTTGAAACTGTGCGCCCCTTTTAAACATGTGAATTGAAAATCAAATATATGTAATTCAAAATTTCGAAGTACTGTTCAAAACTGTGTAACGAGCCCGAAACTGTTCTCTACAGCAAAAACAGTCAAACTATTTGATGAACATCTCTCACAAAGTTTTGCAATTCCTTTAATCATTAGCCTAAGCATAGACACTTTTGCCTTCTTCGGACGTTTTAATTTTTCCGACGTTCTGAAAATCTGTGTTTCCTGGGCTCTCAGCTCTCATCCTTTTATTTTCTCGTATTTCAGGTGGAAAACTCAATGTCCTGCTTACGATTGGTTTCCCCTGAGCAATTGAGTCTGAGCACATGGAATATCTCGTTGACCTATCTCGAATTTCCGTTCGTCATTGTCTCCAGGTTAGTGTGTATCTGCTTCTTCTCTTCCTTTTCTCCTCCATTCTCGGTCTGTTGGAATATTCCATAAGTTATTCTCAATTTTCCCCCTAGCATCCTCATCTTTCCTCCTATATATTCTTTTCTTTTTCCAGAGACAAGCACTTCTTTGGTCATCTAGACGCGCGTGCGGCGTTGCGTGAAGGCGATTTCAATAGGGATGTGAACTTGATGATTGGGATGAACAAGGACGAAGGTTCGTGCGTGAGAGAATTCAGATAAGAGGGTGGGAGGAGCAATAGGGGGAAACAAGAAGAGCCAAAAAGGGGCGGAGCCTAGGGAAGAATTGGCTCCAATTTGTGCGAGGGAGGTGTCAGAAACAACATGTCAGAAACAGTCATTTCGTTTTCTTTATTCCCGAGAACAACCGAAGAATAAACCATCTTTCATTTTCAGGCAACTATTGGAATATCTATCAGTTGCCCCAATTCTTTGACAAGGCCGAACCTCCAGAATTGACCAGGTCAGTTATTTTTTTTTCTTTAAAAAAAAAGGATCCTTTTTGTTTGAATAGAGCCGAGGATGAAGAGTCAAAGAGTGTGGGAATCACAGTGAAATGACGATGTTTTGTGGGAAAATTGGGCTGCATGGAGAGAGATATGTATAGGGACCACTATTAAACTCGGTTCCATTACGTCATAGTTCTTTTTGAATGCTTCCTGAATTGTTCTTTTTTTCTTGGTCTGGGTCCCAGGTTATGATCTATTGAATAGAACATTTTTGGAGTCTGGCTCATCGTGCACAATTCACGCAGAATTCTGAAATTTCATTCGGAACTTTTCGAGGTTGTTCATAGAAGATTCACTAGGTCATGTCAAATCTTCGGAAAGATCCAGAAACAATTACCCAACTTTCGACAGTTTTGAATTTTCTAAGCAAGATGAGATGTAGGTTTTTGAATCATTTCAAACTCCAAGGGTCTCATAAACTCTTGAAACACTTTAATTCAAATTCGTGTTCTATAGCTTCATGTCTTTTGGGAATCATAAAAGATCTACGTCTCTACAGAGATCACCCATCGTTGATCCATATTTCAAGAATCTTTTTCGTTACTTATTTTAACGAAAATTTTGAAAATACTGTATTAGAAGGGCCTCTTAAACTTGTTGTTTGAAATTTTAAATCTTCAGTTAAAAAATATTCCGGAAATTCCAAATTCCACAGAAATTTGTTGAAACCCTCTTTTTTGTAAATAAAATTAAACGTTCATGAATTTTGAACTATAATTCACCGATTTTTAATACAAATTTTTAGAAATAACGACTCGAAAAATAGAATGGCCCTTCGGAGGTATCTTGAACAATGGAAGATCCGGCCCCTCTAATTGAGGTTTACGACAGTTTCATGTGTACATCTCTTTAGAAAGTGTTTTCATAGTAGGTGTCGTTCTCTCGTTTTCTAATCATACCTCTTGAGAATCGACTGCTTGGATAACAAGAACTGAAAACCCCTTCCCATATTTCATTATATTAGGTTGTTCGGAAAGTCCTTTCCATTTTTGATATGTTGTTTTCAAACTTCGTTTTCTTGAAGAGGATAAAAGCGAGGAAGTTGTCGTTTTATCAGTACGCTGGCGAGGTCTAATAGTGTCTACACCCCAACGGAAATCATTATCCTCTTTTCGTGCAGTGAGATATGCCCACCGTTTTCGCCTCTAATAATTTCCATTTTTGGACTACCATTTTATTTGTATTTCTATCTGACCTCAGATCAACTGAAATCAATTACCAATTTGTGGAGGTTAACAGCGAAGATGCACCTAATAAAAACCGGGATTGAAAGGGACCCATCTCAAACAGAGCGGGATATATCAAGTACATCAGTGGCAAGCCTTTCGTCAAAAAGCCATAAATTGGGAACTCTCGGCAAAGTAAAAAAAAGTGGGAAGATATGGATCACACATTTTCGCTCAAAGCAACTTTGTTTCATGTGTGGGCACCTGTTTGAATCTTCTCATCCTGCGTTGCACACATGAATGTTAAAGTTAAATCATTACTAGTGGCGATAAATGGGTAAAGTATGATTACTATAAACAACAATCCAAGTGGGTTGACAAAGGCACTCAACCGCCAGACGTCCCGAAACGTGAAATTAACGTTAAAAATGGGATGTTTTCGGGATGTCTACCAAGGAGTGGAGTACTGGGAGCTGCCAGATAATGGTGTCACTTTTATGACCGATACCTATTTTTGTCAGGTGACATAACTCAGACTCCATGTGGATCTCCATTGGAGAGAAACACAAAGGTTTATTTTCAAAATCAAAATTCGCAACCTCATGCGGGAAGGAGAACGGAGACCGATCTCACTGGATACGGCTAAACGGTTCTGTCTCATCTACATTATAGTCCAAACCTTGTACTGTCTGACTACCCCTATATAGCCATTTCTATCGACACCTTGATTGAAAAAAATTCACTTCAAAGCATGATGTCAAAAATGGGTTGACCTGATTTTGAACTCGCTATGACCGGAGTTCTGGAAGGAAGACATCCACAATTTGGTGGGACGTTGGCAGATAGTCACTGATAACAATGGTCATTATCTTCAATTTATCTGACATCGGTTTGACCTTTTTATATCGAATGAATCTGACGCTAAAAATGGAAAGGACTTTCCGAACAACCTAATAGAATCAAAATCTCTATTTGAAAAAAAAAACCTCTGAAAATTATCACGGTTTCATTTTTGAGAACTTGGATTTTTTGTTAATTAGCCCTTATAAGAGTATGCTCAGTTTAGTATCCTCAAATAATAAAAAAAAAGTTTCAGGCATCAATTCGACAATCTAATCGATTCAACGTTTTCGATTCAACCTGACATCATCCGTTCAGCTGCAAAATACATTTATTCGGACCCGAATTGCACGGACCACGGAAGGAAGACTCGGTTCTATGCAGGCCAAATGAATCAAATCGTCGGAGATTATTTCTTTTCGTGTGACTCACTTTGGTTAGCCGATCAGGTATATCCCCATTCCTCTAATTGCCTCAATTCTTCTTCTTTTTTTGAGACAAGAATATTCTCTTTTTTTTTCGTCGTCTCTATTTCTCCAGTTCTTCCTTTTTCTCCAGATTTGTTCAACTCCAAATGGTTCTTTGAAAAATCCACCAAAGGTTTTTGTCTACTATTTTACGCAGTCTTCCAGGTGAGGGGCTTTGTGGAAATTCTTCATTTTGAAACAGATTTATTGCTCTTGACCTGAATCTTTTGAAGATTCAGAACCCTCGAAACTCCAATAATTTGCATTCCTTTTTTTTTTTCAGTGCCAACCCATGGCCAAAATGGACTGGCGCAATGCATGGATACGAAATTGAATATGTTTTTGGAGTTCCGTTGAGTTATTCGAAAATTTATAAACGACGCGAGCAGATATTTTCGAGAAAAATCATGCAGTTTTGGGCGAGTTTTGCGAAGAATGGGTAAGTGCAAGAGGAGAAAAAAAAGAGTTTTTAAGTGGAAAAGGAGAAGAGGAATGGCGGAACGGAAACTACAAATTTTTCAGAACTCCAAGACTGCGGGTTCTCAAAAATAGTGAACATTGGCCAGAGTTCAATGAGCACAATAACTATCGGTTCGTTTTTTCTTGTTTCTGTTTTTGGGCTTTGTGGCGGAGATTGTTAATTCATTTTTGTAACCGTTTCTCGGGATGCGGAAGAAGAGGAGCGCCAACTTTAAAGGCGCATATCTCAAAAACAATGAAAGCTTGAGAAGTTGTCAATTATAGAGTTGAAGTTCACATTTTGTTCAGTAGACTATGAAGTTTTCAGACAAATCGAAAAAGTCTGAAATACTTTTGTAGGATTTCAAAGTTGATTGTTTTCCACTAGGTTCTAAATCTGATAATTCAGGAGTCTAAATTAATTTTTCAGATGGATGCAACTTCGAAGTGGCTCCAACATTCGACCTATCAAACGAAGGAAAGAAACAGAGTGTCAATTCTGGAGAAGAGTCAAAGATACGGAGTACACTGCATACTGTAACTTTTTTCAAAAAGACTTTCAAACAGACACACGAACAGACTTCTTTTTTCAGTGACCCAGGAATATTCATCGAGCTGTCACATAAACTCCTATCGGATTCTACTCTTTATTCCATTCTTTTTCATATTCTCTGCTTTTTAATTTATGCGACGACTATCACCAAGACCATTTTCCCCAGTTTCAAATCCATTTGCGGGCTTTTTTCTCATCCTTGATCTCTTGATCCAAATCCCGATCGTTCTGAAAATAAACACCAAATTTTTTGAAAAACTCAAATTTCGAAAGTCTCCGCATGTGAATATTTTACCCCGACTGAGCACGATCTTTCTCTTGATTCCTCTCCAATTTTCCTATTTCCAGCATCTCTTTTTTTTCATTTCTCTCTTCCGAATTTAACCTCTCTTTTTCTCTCTGCGTCTCTCACTGATCTTTCACTCTCTCTAACGTGTCGTGTTTTGAGGGTCCTACCACGAAACGAACGGTGAAAAATCCAATCGAGACCCTGAGAGCGGATGCGTCGTCGTCGTGTCTTGCTACACCTTTTACTGTCGACAACGGCAACCATCCTAATCGTCACTGCACAACAGGTACTAATTACTAAAAACATGAGATGATGCTAGAGAAAATAATATGAATTGCAAAAGAAAACTAACTGCTAGAGAAGCATCTGATGAATTTACAGGACGATCAGAAAGCGGATGTTGTGGAAGTTCAGACGAAACTCGGAACAGTCCGAGGATCAGAAACAGATCATGGAAATAAAAGAGTGCGATCTTTTTTGGGGTGAGTCTAGTGCAAAGAGCAATGTCTAAACTTGAAAAACCTGAAGTCTCATGATCAGATAGATCGAGGGCATGATCTAGAAAATTCAGGTTCAGAGCGACTTTATTCAGGCTCCAACCTAGAAAAACGTCATAAAAGTTTCTAGAGTCTTGTTAGGATTAGCTGGCATGGACCTTCAAGAAGTTGAATATCATTTTTAATTTCCAGAGTACCATTCGCCGAACCACCAATCAACGAACACCGTTTCAAAATTCCAACTCCAAAACGGCCGTGGAATGGAACATTTCAAGCGAATACTCTATCGCCGGCATGTTTTCAGGGACGAGATTCGTATGACCCATCATTCTGGGGAAGTGAAATGTGGAATGCAAACACTCCCGTCAGTGAGGATTGTCTATATGTGAATATCTGGGCGCCAGCAGATGCTTAGTGAGTTGGAATTTGAATTTCGTCCAAAAAATTCAATTGTCACATTTTCAGCAATCTAACTGTGCTTGTATGGTTGTTTGGTGGTGGGTTCTGGTATGGATCCCCATCTCTTTTACTCTATGACGGGAAGGAATTGGCAACTCGTGGAAATGTGATTGTAGTCAACATCAATTACCGTGTTGGACCATTCGGATACTTGTATTTGGGTCATGACGATGTTCCTGGTAATATGGGAATGTTGGATCAACAATTGGCTTTGTACTGGATCAGAGATCATATTTTCTCATTTGGAGGAAATCCATCAAGGATATCTTTAGTTGGAGAATCAGCTGGAGCAGCTTCGATTGTTGCTCATTTGATTGCGCCTGCTTCAAAAGGTCTGTTCCAAAATGGAATCCTTCAATCTGGATCGTTGGATAACAAATGGTCGATGGATTCACCAAAACGAGCAAAGCAAAAATCTACAGCCTTGGCAAATCTTGTTGGATGCAATCAAACAAAAATAACTGATGTTACCGAATGTCTTCGGAATACACCTGCTCAACTTTTGATAGATAATATCTGGAATGTTGGTCTGAATTTCCTTGAATTCCCATTTGCCATCGTATCAAAGGATCGAAATTTCTTCAAACATCTTGATGGTTTCATAGCTCTTCGAGAGGGAACATACTCCACAGATGTCAATTTAATGTTTGGAATCAATCATGATGAAGGAAACTTTTGGAATATCTACAATTTAGCAAAGTTTTTCGATAAAAAGACGGCAAAACCAGAACTAGATCGAGACGAATTCCATGAATGTGTGGATACGGCATTCGCAGTTCAACCGGAGTTAGTGAGGACAGCTGCGAAATATGTGTATTCCGATCCAAAATGCACAGATCCGAAGAAGAAAACAGATTTCTATACGGAACAAGTCAATCAAATGGTTGGAGACTATTTCTTCACTTGTGACAGTATTTGGTTTGCTCATAATTATCCAAAGTTGGCTGGGAATCGATCGAATGTTTTTGTTTATTACTTTGATCAGCCATCGAGGTGATATATGGGAATCTGTGGATTTTTTTAAACTTCCGAAAGAAATCAAATTTTCAATTAGGGGATTTCTAAACAAGAAAAAAGTCTGGAGCTCGGTTGCCAAGTTTCCGATTATTTTGAAACTTTTGGATGGTGTAAAAGAGACCTAGATTGAAAAAGTTGCCTTTACATATTTTTAAAGTTTGTTTTTCAGCTACTTGCCAATTTCTGAAAGATACCTTCTTTGGACCGTTTTTTACTGACAAGGGAAGCCTCCCATATGTTACGCGGGAATTCTGATGACACCTATGCCAAATGGTAGTACACAAGCTATCTAGAACAACCACAAAATTATAACGGCCCGTTTGAAGGTCTGTAGAAATGGCGAAGCATTTTATGATTTTTCGCGAGTTTGGAGTCGGTACCGTTCGAGCGACCATAACTTTGTTTATTTCAATGGTAGACTTTTTTGTTCGAAAGTTGAAGAATTGACAAGCATTAATGTCAACTACACCCATGTTCTACCTTCAAAGCGAAAGTCAGGAAAATGGAAAGTATGAAACTTTCGAGTACCAACGAATTCAAAAAATGCCAATTTTTGAAAAAAAAAGTGCTCGGCCATGTCTATCAGATTTCTCAGGGCGAGTAACGTACGTATACGTGTTCAAATATAGGTCGAGCCCTTGAGTTACGAGACTTATTTCAATTTTTTCAACAAAAAAATTACAATTCATGTACCCCTATACATGAAATTTTTCGAAAAAAAAGTTTTCAAAAATAATAAAACACAAATAAATATGAAAGAAGACAACAAAATAAAGTTCAAAAACTGGAAAGGAATTCATTGGAAAGTAAAAAATGTTTTCGAATAATTTCATGTATACATGAATTGTAATTTACATTTGGGGTACATGAATTGTAATTTTTTTGATAAAAATCGAAATAAGTCTCGTAACTCAAGGGCTCGACCTATATTTGAACATGTATAAGTACGTTTGTCGCCTTGAGGAATCTGATAGACATGGTCCCCCGAGCACTTTTTTTTTTTCAAAAATTGGCATTTTTTGAATTCGTTGGTACTCGAAATTTTCATACTTTCCATTTTCCTGACTTTCGCTTTGAAGATAGAACATGGGTGTTGTTGACATTAATGCTTGTCAATTCTTCACCTTTCGAACAAAAAAAGTCTACCATTGAAATGAACAAAGTTATGCTCGCTCGAACGGTACCGACTCCAAACTCGCGAAAAATCATAAAATGCTTCGCCATTTCTACAGACCTTCAAACGGGCCGTTATAATTTTATGGTTGTTCTAGATAGCTTGTGTACTACCATTTGGCATGTGTTTCATCAGAATCCCCGCGTAACATATGGGAGGCTTCCCTTGTGAAAACATCAAAAAACATATGTCTTACAAAAAAAAGGTGAAAAATTGGAATTTTCAAAACATTCTGTAAATGCTTAGTTTTTAATCTAGGCCTGTTCTACATCTTCTAAAATTTTCAAAGAGTTTGGAAACTTGACAACCAATCTTCAGACCTCTGAAAATTGTCAAATTTGACGAAAATCCACTGAAAAACTTTTTGTGTAACTTATAGACCGACACTATATCCCATTTCCTGTGAAAGATATCAACAAGTTGTCAACCAACAAAATGTTTATCATAATACAAAAATCATTTTGTCAATAAATCACTCTTTGATATCTTTCACAGGAACCGAGATAAATTGGCTCAAAATTGAAAGAAGAGGTCATTCTATTAGAGTTTTTATGGTAACTCTATTTTTCCAGTGCAAACCCTTGGCCAAAATGGACAGGTGTAATGCATGGATATGAGATTGAGTACGTCTTCGGGGTTCCTCTTCATAACAAATCCGCCGGTTACATCAAAGAAGAAATGGATCTATCAGAGAAAGTTATTGATTTCTGGACCACTTTTGCCAATACAGGGTAACCCGAGTTCTCAGGAATTTCCGAAATGAATTCTATAAACTTTCAGAGTTCCATCTCTTCGAAAGAAATCAGTTGGAACGACTCATAAAATCAAATGGGATCGGTACGACGGTACTGATCACACGACGTGGATGAATATCAAAACTGGATCATTCCGAATGATTCAGGAACTGAAAAAAGTGGAGTGTGATCTATGGAGAAATGCAAAAGACATGGAGTATAGTGCATATAGTAAGATTTGCAAAACTTTTTTGATCTATTCATACTGTCAATCTTTCAGAAGAAGAGCTCGCTGCCACGTCATCATCTCCTCTGACCCGATACACAGTTGTGTTGATTTTGATAATTAAGTTGTTGTTGTTCTAAACAAACGCCGTATTTCTAATTCCGTAAATTACATGTGTGCTCACTTACAAAAAAACATTCAAATTTTTCTTTCAGTCATTCTTTCCCCAACCCATAAAATACTTTCTTTCTTCTTCATTTCCATTTCCAGCATATTTTCTTTAATTTCTTTTTCTCAGGGAGTAGCCATGTTGGATCTCTTTCTTGAACCCCCCATTTCTAGCCTTCTTCATCATTCCACTATTTCTGAAAACATTTATATTTTCAGACGTTATTTTATGAATTACACATATCATTAGAAATAACTGTTTAGGCCTTGCATATAGAGATTTTCAAATGTAAAATATATTTTATATATTTAATTTTTTGTAATTTTTTGAATGAATATACTTTTTCTACACAATGTTTTACGATTCCAAAGCTTTTGGTAAGAGAAAAATTGAAAGAGAAATTCAGGTTTTCTGAACACCCATACTATTCGAACAGTTGGAATCAAAAAACTAATTAAATAAACGACACAAAAGTTATCCAGATATTTTCATTGTTTCGAATAATTGGGTCAAACGAAAGAAAAGGTGCCTCCACTTGGGTTCAGGCAAATGGGTCAGAAATCGCGCCCCAGTAAACGTGAGATTTTAGAAAAAATTCGCTGCTGAATTATGTAATTGAGGATCAAACTTTTAAACGATGCACGAAAAAAATCACGCGTTGCAACCCGTTGATTAAAACTAATTATTTCATATCCACGTCAACTTTGAAATTATTAAATTTCTTCTGGCCTAAAAGTTATTGGGAGCGCGTTTTTGACCCGATTTTTTACTTTTTGAGTTCATTTAACCGTGTGACCTCCGTGAAAGCCTAACAAAATGGGGACAAAGTCATGCTTCAGAAAAATAAGGGAAAAATCAGTATTTAGTTTGCAACGTTCAAGTTTAGGGGCTTCTGGTTTTCCGGGATGCACCAACTGCAGCAACTTCACCAGCTTCACCAACTTCAAACACATCTTCTAGGGAGGTTTTCAGGATCGGCAGGATTTCAATTATAGAAATGTAGCAAAATAGTATAGAATGTGAGAAAGGTTTCTCATTAAACAAATGAACCTCTAAGATTCCAGAGTCTTCTTGGCGTCCAGGATGCAACAACTTCCAGGTCTTCGAGGGCTGCATGACAGTTTTCAGGATTGACGGATTCAAATTCAGATGATAGGAGAAGCAAAATAGAAAAGGTGGCGAAATGGGAATTTTCGGTCAATTTTTTAATGGGGGCAGATGGGAGTTTACAAATTTCAAAAATTTGCGGAGCGCTCAATTTTTCGATTTTACTCGATGATTTACTTTTTGCGTAACTTGGTAAAGTGTTAGGGTCCGGTTAATTTTTTTTTCGATAAAATAAAAACTGGTCTCTCAACTGTAAAATTTCTAGTCCAAGAAACCAAAAATGGAAATTTGAGGGCGAATCCCGTGATTTTAAAAAATGTAAGAAAATCAGTAATTACTTTTCAACGGTCAAGTTCCAGAGGATCCTTGGCGTCCAGGATGCGCCAACTTCCAGAACTTCGAGGACAGCATGACAGTTTTCAGGATTGACGGATTCGAATTCACATAGGAGGGGTCAAATAGCAAAGGTGAGAAAATGGGGATTTTCAGTCAATTTTTTTATGTTTATAATATGCCAAAATTTAAAACTCGCTATCAATTATTCGATTTTCCACAAGAGAACCTTTAAGAATAATTAAAGGGCGGAGCCACGAACCAGTATAAAAACTAGATTGAACCGCGCAGGGCGCACCGGCTAGCTGGTTAAACAAAAGAAAAAATCAGTATTTAATTTTCAACGGGCAAGTTTCAGAATGCTTGGCGTCCAGGACCGACTTCCAAGACTTCGAGGACAGTATCGCAGATCCCAGGATTTACCGGGTTCGAATTCAGGGGACAAGAGAGGCGAAACAGCAAAGGTAAGAAAATGCGAATTCTCAGAAAATGAAAAATTTCGAATTATTAAAATTTTAAAAAGTTTTGTGAGTATTCGTTTTTTGGAATGCGTTGGCCGATTTAATTTTTTCACATTTTTTGCAAAAGAAAATTCTGAAAATGTTTTATTTAAAATGTGAGCAAACTATCAAGTATGGTATCAAATTCTCCCAAAAATATAGCTAGCTACTCACTCGGCGGCTTTAAAAAATAAAATAATTATGTCCAGAATGTTATTGACGCTTTTCAACTTTAACAGCATCAAAATCACTTTTGTTAATTTTCAGTTTTCGGGCATCACTCTACAAGTTGTCTCGTCGTCTCGTCTCGCCGTGCTGGCATTGTGATCGTGATGAGTCGTCGTCGTCATTGCAAAACTTGGCGAACTTGATTTATTTTTTGTGATTTCCTCTTTCTTTGCTTTTCTCGCGCGCTTTTTTCTTCTTCTCTGACGTTTCTTCGTGATGTCTTCCCTGTCTTTGTTGTTCTAGCTGTTGTTGTGGTCCTTCCAGTTGTGTCTTGAATTTGCCAGACAATTAGCCTTGGTTCAGAAAACTTCTTACCTTTTATGGTATCCTTCATAAAACTTTACAGAAGTCTGCAAACCGTAAAATGGCGGATCTGAAAAAGGCGTTCATAAAAGCCAAAAAGCGGACTCTATCCTGACAGTTCCTGATTGTATACATACAGTGTGTTTCACATTTGTACCGAAATAAAGGTGACCGTATAAATGTGAAACGCACTGTATTAGATTACACCAGGCCGATACGTCTTATTGTGATGATTTTTGTGAGTTGAACTTCAGAATTTAACTTCAGAATTATGATTCAAAAGACAAGGTCTTCAACTCAACTACACACTCATTACATAGAAGTAGCACTTATTTCAGGCTTTTCGCAGGTCTAAAATTCATCTGAAATGTCTCTCCTTTTGAAAATCGAGCTTTGTTTGAAAATCGAGCAATGCTTTTCCCGTATCATTCCGCTAGACATTTTCCGTCGTAAATCAACATCATCTCTTCCGTTCGAGAAGCTCCCCAGTCCTTGCGGACATCACCTGCTACATGTGTTCTCGTGTTGTTGACAGCTTCTGTCATTTTTTTGGGACAAAAAGTTGGAGAAAGTTCCTTATTTGCAGAAGTTTGGAACATCTACTGAATCTTTGCTTCTATGTATTCTTGCTGGAAGAGTTTTTCTCCAATCAAAATTTTCAACAGTATTCTTCTCTTATCTGATACTCCAAGATTCTATCTTTTAAAGTAGGTCTTCTGTTTTTCCCCATTAGTTCGTTTCAGACCTATCGTGGCAAGCACTGATTGAGATCAAATATGGGCGGTTCCATCTGAAATTTACATGATACGATAAACATTTTTCGTGTTTTCAAATTTGAACTCAAAACTCGAATTTCGAAATCTCTCCGAGTCGTAAACAAGGTAAACAAATAAGGTACTGTATCGATTTTGTTATCTCATTTCCCCATTTCCTATGTTTTGTTTCAGGCCCTTTGATGTTTCGAAAGTCACGAATGACCTTGCAAAAAATTCTTGTTGTTGATTCAAAGCTATTACGAAATTCTACAGTAATCCTGTCTAGACATAAGCCGTATCGATGAAAGCTCCGCCCCTTGTCAAAGTATCAGAAATCTGTCCTCCCGAATTGCTGCCAAATCGACTATTGGGTTATGATTTCCCTTCATTCTTTATTGTTTTTTTCTCTTTCAGTATGCTCTCTTTTAATTTCAGAGAATCACGAACTTTCTTCCGCTTCTTCTGTTCACTGATACCAAATTATGGCTTGCTAATCAGCTTACTACTCTATTTTCAGGCGATGATTTGGTTCAAACTGATTGTGCCTTGAAATAAATCTTTGCCAAGTTCGTCTATCCGGAGACAACAGGTCTACGCTGCAAGGTTTGTGCTATCGGAAACAATGTGAGTTATTTTGAAAGCTGAACCTTGATCGGAAAAGACCAATTTTTCCTTTTTTTCTATAAACTCTTCTACGTTTCAGGATGTCTTGAGTGTGTATTTACGCCCACCAAATCGGAATACGAGATCAAAGTGGCCAAGGATGTGGACATAAAAAACTCGGAGTGCTATCAGAATCCCAAGACTATCCCATGCCCCGGACATTGCTTTAAAACTTACGTTGAGTCAAAATATTATGGTCGAAACATCTTGGAAGGTATTCATCAACTATAGTTTAATCAAATATGAACTCGTTCCTTTCAGGTGCCATATTCGGTTGCTCCAATGAAACTCTTGATGAAGAACCCTCAAAATTGATAATTCCAAAAAAAGTATCGATGGGAAAACTTGACCTGGAGGACAACTACGTTTCACTTTTGACTGAAGTAGCCCATTCTGTAAAAAAACAATTCTACATAGTGTTCAAAAAGGCCGAGCTGTACAGACCGTATGAAATTAAGTGTGATTGTGATTTCCCGATTTTCAAGACTGTGATCATTGTATTCTCCGTTATCATCGTTCTTAACTTTTTGGAACAGTTTCCCAAAAATAATTGCTGTTAAAAATCAATCTTCAACAGGATTCATTACCATCCATCGCTTTGTGAACTATCTGACTTTGTACATTCTTCATACCTTATTTGCTCTAGTATGTAGAAGTCCACCCGATACATGCACTTTGAGATCTATTATCTGGGTTCCGATAAGACAGTATCAAAAATCTGTCAACTGAAAAAAAAATTATGACATTATGATCAATATTTTATCAATTGAACGTTTTTGATATCCTTCGAAGGAACCAAGATAATTAAGCTCAAAGTTCAAGTAGCTCCTAGTAGTGGGCTCCTAGAGCAAATATGGTATATGTTTTTATTCGGACCGATTTTCACTCACTACTTTATCTTGAAGCCAGCTATTGAAAATTTTATCTCTGTTTCTTCTTTAACCTTTATAAGAATTAATAAAGTCGTTTTATTTGTTATTCGAATCTATAAAAGGAAAAGAAAACTTGAAAATATTTTTTTAAATATTTCCACAGATGTTCCCTTCTTTTGTTCAGCAGATGTAACTATTCAAACTAGTGACAGCTGGTGGTTTTAAAATCAAAAATGCTCAAAAAAAGTATTTCGATTTTTTATAAGATGGCAAAAAGTTACAGACAAAACGGGCAAAAAAACGGGTAAGGCCTGCCCGGCTGGAATCAGCATTTCTATGGCCTATAACTTTGTTCATAGACAATATAATGTTTTCCAAATATGTAGTATCATTTGTAGTACTTGTGAGTTTTATTATATCCTATTTATATGGTCCAAAAATTCTAAAAGAAACCATGGCAAGGCCATCCAGGTCCCCGTTTTTATGCTTTCAGCTGCATCCATTTGAAAATTATGAATTACAAAAATGAGTATCTGGATTTTTTTCTTAAAATTTCAGAAATGCTGAAATCAAACGGACAAGTACTTTCCTGGTGTCTTCTCCATATCAAGTACTAATCGAATATCATTGAGAGCGTACGTAATTACCCTGTAATTGAAACTGCTCTCCGTTTTCAAATCGCTTCTCTTGGCTTCCCACCCCCCATCAAAAACCCACCCAATTCTGAGGTACAGTCTTCTCTAACTGTCTGTCGGTCTCTTCTTCATCCTCTCAATTGGAAAATGTATCATTTTAGATTGACCATGCCCTGGGTAAAACTTTTGATTCTTCTTCTCTCCACCTTCTCATCCATCCCCTCCCAAGATTCCAACGAGGAACAGTCCGAAAATCTCAAATGCATTTCATGCGCAACAAAAACTATGTGAGTTTCGGGCGCCCCTTTTTGTTATTGTGACAAGAAATGAAAGTTTCAGAAGCTTATAAACCAAATATTGGGATTTTCGTTTCATCAAATGGAAATGAATATCGGAAAAGAAGTATTCGTTCCTTGCGATGAGAACCACCTCAACTTTCTACCATGCGATGGACACTGTGTCGTTATTTCTGTTGTATATGAACGCAAAAATAAGAAGCAAAGTGTAATAGTTAACACTTCTTTATATTCTCTTTGTCTTCAAAAGAGCAGCTATATTTCAGGCTACATTACGGGATGCTCCACGAATCTATTTCATGTTGACCAACCAACGAAACCTCGTATTTTTCCACAGTATACGTTGGTTCCACTGTATTTTCAAGACGAAAACGCTAACATGGTTTACAAATGTGCACTGAGAACAAGAGAAAAATTCGAAGAACGATCTGTCCATGTATCCCAATCAATCGGAATCCATGACATCGCTTTTATAATTCTATTCAGCTTCCTTCTCCTTATTCTCCTTTTTGCTATAATTGTCATTTTCCGCTAACCTCATGTAATTTAGATATTTTCCTCTAATTTCCATTTGTTTATACTTTGTAATTTGAGAATATTTTTCAAACTGCAATCTCTAAATCTATGGAAAAGTATAATCGAAAAGTATAATCATTTAGCTCTTTCATTTTTCCATCAGATTCTCAACTTTTCTCCCAAATTCCCACTGTCATTGTTCCTTGCCTGCCAAACTAACAAAAAGTTGTAACTGTTGCACATAAATTCTTCGTTCTTTTTCTTTTTTTTCGTCGTCTTTTGCACCGATATCATTTTGAGTGTCTTTTGGATTCCAATTTTTTGTGAGATTCGTTTTTTTTCTGCATAGATTCTCATACCGATCGAGAGAATTTCTTAAATCTACAGTAACAGTCATAGTCATTTTCACTTTTGTTGAGTAACAAATTTTGTTTACTTACAACTCTCCCTTCGATGCCCGTAAAAAAGTAATCAACTATTGAAAGGGAGCTCCACCTTTACTCTTTTCTCTAAATTTTTCAAACTAACCAGAAAAATTTACTTCATTCTTTCAGCCAGATCTTTCTTTTTTTGTCTTCCATTTTGCTAAAGCTCAATTATCTCAATTCCTGTAAAAGTTATCAAAATTGTGTTAACTGATAAAGTATTGGTGATATTATTGTCGAATTAAAAAAGTGGGACCTGGAAAAATTCGCGGGCGGCTTCCCGGTCAATTTTCGAAGCCTTGCCTCAAAATCAGTACAGTAGCAAAAGAAACTTATTTCTGTGAGCTCAGTGGGATTTTCTGGACAAAATTTAGATTTCTTGGTATGAAAGTGATAGAATCTCTATTATCTGTTTTTCGTCGGAAAACCAAACTTAATTGCGAAAGTAGCTCGAATGAGGCGAAAGTCTGAAATATTATGTTCTTGCCTCACTTTTTCAAATATCGAAAAAGCTACGCCTTTCAAATTCTCAGGTCCCACTTTTTTTTTAATTCGACAATATGATAGACAATTTTTTCAGTTGAGAAATGTTGAATGTCTTGCATAAGAGCCGAGAAATTAGCTCAAAATTGACAGTGTGCGGGCCCTTCTATTCCTTCTATTACAGGTTTTATATTGATTTTCAAGGATATCATGAATTGGATCAAATTTTTCTTCTCTCTCATTGCATTATCTACTGCCTTAAACTTGAGAGTAAGCACAAATACAAAAAGTCAACGTTACTGTAACAAATGTATCAGTGGAGACTATGTATGTACCTTGTTCAAGAAAACTAAAACTCCGAACTTTCAATTTCAGGGGCTCGCCAACCTCTGTTTCGGAACGTCGAAATACAAGAAAGAAATGAGAATCAGTCCTGGATTAAAAGCAAGTTGCATGGATAAAAGTCTACCTTTGGAACCTTGTGATGGTCATTGTGTCGATGTGATTCTTACAGATGAACATGACACAGATATCATCAAAGGTAGGCGATAAATATCATTAAAGTTCCATATCTTTTCTAATTTCAGGAATAATTGCTGGATGTTCCACCGATCTCATAGACTCCAATCGATCAAAACAAGCACTTTGGTCCTTTGGGGACAGTATTCAAATTGATGTACGCAGGACAGCCAGCCAACATCGGTACATTTTCACATTAAGAAAAGAAGAGAAGAATAGAAATGAAGTGGAGATGAAACCAAATGAGCCATCGAAGCCAGCTCCAGTGATACCAAAAGTCAATCTTGATGAGGAATACCAGCTAAAAGAAAATGAAATTAACTTCACTCTTTTCATTCTCTCAGTGTTGATTCTTCTACTGATTGCCGTGATAGCTGGAACTCGTCCACCCGTAAGTAACATCTTTTAAAAAAGGGTGCACTCTGACAGTCAACTTTGCGTCAACTTTTCTCGGTTTCTGGGAAAGATATCAAAACATGGTCAACAAACAAAACATTCACCATAACATCGAAAACGTTTCACCAATTGACCACTTTTTGATACTTTTCACAGAAACCGAGATAATTTAGTTCAAAGTTAACGTATAGGGTGGGCTTCTATTAGAGACAATATGGTATCTTCCTGACTTTCCGATCGTAACTGTGACCACATTTAAAATAATTAACTTTCAGCAACCCGTTCAAGTTCAAAACACCAACAGAGCTCCATTAACAACTCGTGCTTCGAACAGAGCAGCTCCACGTTTCCAGAGGATCTAATCGTGTTTTAATACGTGATCTTTGTTCTTAATCAAAAATTATATCCGGTTTATTCTCTATTATTTAAATCTGAAAATTCTTTATACAAATTATAAAAAATTGATTGATTTCATCTTTTTTTCATTCAAGACCGTGTGAACATTTTGACAAAAAAAAACTCCAGACATTGTTCTTATTAATACGGATACTGTAGGACTACAGTATCATCTCACACCCATTAAACGATTTTCGAAATTGTCATTTACAATTTTTGTTTCCCATGTCCCCCCAATTTGTTGTAAAAGTAAACATTGTCTCTCCCATTGTGCATGAGGCACCTTTCACTTTTTTTTCTTTTTTTTCGATTTGAAGACATTTTGCAGCAAACAGATATTTGTTTCATATTTTATGGTGGAGGGGGAGATGTCAGAAACTCCGCCTCCCTTGTCTCCTGTCGTTCCAGATGTCTATTCTTCTGTTACATTCCATGTTTCAGTTTTATCAAAGAACAATCTAGAAACTTTCGAAAGTTGACAGATGATACCAGAAGCAGCTTCAAGTGTGCAGATGTTTCCAAAGATTACAGGATGACTATCTGCGCTTCCATTTTCCAGTGAGCATATGAGATATAGATCATGTGATTTGATTCTAGAATTTTTCGCCGTTTGGTTCTTTTTTAAATGTTCAAATTTCACTTTCCACTAGCCACAGCTCCGATATAAAATTACCGTACGAAGCTTGCCAAACCGCCAACTTTGAGCTCATTCATCTCGATTCCTGTAAAAGATATTCAAAACTTTTTAACTGATAAATTATTTATCAGTTGTACACTTTTTGATATCTTTGACCGGAACCGAGATAATTGAGTTAAAAGTTACGGGGCCCTTCTATTACAGGTTTTACGCTGAGCTCAATTTCAATGAAATTTCTCATTGCTTGAAGCAGACCATCTCCTCTATAAAAGTCATGAAATTCGCATTGATTCTTTATTTTTTCTCAACTTATGAGTCATAAAATGTTTTGAACCGTCAGACTCCGCCCACTTGATCATGGATACTGATTCATGGCTAATTTCGAAATGTTATCGCTTTACCGAAAGCTCCGCCAGTTTTCATCCTTTACCAAAAATATATTTGTTTCATATTTTGCGTTGGAGAGGGGAGATGTTGCAAACTCCGCCCACTTTGTCTCCTGTCGTTCCAGATGTCTTCTTCTTTGGCATTCCAATCTTTCAGTTTTATCAAAGAACAATCTAGAAACTCCCAAAAATTGATAGTTGATACCAGAAGCAGCTTCAAGTGTACAGATGTTTCCAAAGATTACAAGATGCCTATCTGCGCTTCCATTTTCTAGAGAGCATATGAGATACAGATCATATTATTTGATTGTATAATTTTTCCTTTTTGTTCTTTCGTATGTTTACAGGTCAATCTTTGTTTAATGAGGTTCCAGTTACCGTAAAAACTGTAATAGTAGGGCTCCTAATTCTTAACTTTGAGCCAATTTATCTCGGTTCTTTTGAAAGATTGCATAATGTCGTCAATTGATAAATTATTCATCATAGCATCTCCAGTGTTTTATCTTTTGACAATTTTTCAATATCTCTTGAAGGAACCGACATAATTGAACTCAAAGTTAAAAGTTAGAGGGCCCTTCTATTACAAGTTTCACGCTAAACTAAATTTCTAAAGAAATTATCATTGCCTCAAGCAAACCATCTCCTCCATAACAATCATAATATTCGCAGTGATTCTTTCTTTATTCTCAACATATGAGTCATAAAATGTTTTGAACCGTCAGACTCCGCCCACTTGACCATTTACACTGATTCATGGCAAATTTCGAAATGTTATCGCTTCACCGCAAGCTTCGCCCCTTTTCATCCTTTACCGAAAAATTTGTTCTCACTTTCCGATACACTAGATAGTTCCCCAGAAATCTTTGTCATGTTTTTTGAACTTTTTCCTATTTCTTCTTTTTTCCATTTTGCAAGAGCCATCGAATCATCTTCGGAGAGATTTTAATTATCTCCTTATCACATAAAACTCGTTTCCTTGAGGCTTATTAAATTCTTCAGATATTGCAGATCTCAAAGTTCCAGAATCTTGGGTCTTCCCTACCATTCCTCCAGATCCGCAATGATCTGGATCAAGCTCTTCATTTTCTTTCTCCTCGCCTTCCACGTTGTTCTCTCCGAGAGAAGATGTGCCCAGTGTGTTGCTGGGAAATACGTAAGTTTTTAAGAAATCGGACCACATAGAATCAATAAAGGACTTCCAGCTCTCCCAGCGATCTCTGATGCAAGACTCCGAAGCTGGACAGTCCATGGGATGGGTTGAAGAATGGAAAATCACCGACTGCGCTCGCGGCGTGATAAGGTTTATCCCGTGTAAAAGCGCATGCATCAATGTTCGTCTCTTCAAGATCGGCGCTGCGGAAAACACATTGGAAGGTAGTTACATTTAAGACTTCAGGAGGTTGAGGAACCTATTTTAATTTCCAGGAGTCATGCATGACTGCGCGGACGACATGATCCACTCGAGTCCAGATCTTCCACAGGACATTGACTTCAAAGAATATTCTGAGAATGCTGAATTCTCCAACAGGAGAAGAAACTTCAACATCACCTATTCCTTCACAATGGCCAATGTGGACAATAAAGAATTGATTCAAAACGAGTACTCTTCGTTCATCATGCCTTCCTACAAATCGGAGTACACTTGGAATTCGATAATCATCCAAATTGCTTTCCCAGTCATCGTTGTCAGTCTATTCGTTGCCCTCTGTTGTTGTGCAATGTATAAAGAGGTCAGTTATTTTGATATTATTTTTTTTGAAAAACAAAACATTTTACAGTGTGGAATGTGTCGAAAATCCCGAAAACCCTTCGATCCAGATACCGGCGACGATCTTCCGGTTGAAGATTTGGAGATGGCTCCAGTTGTTCGATCTGAGCTCGAATAGCGTTTGTACACTACTGGTATCCTCATTTCCCAATTTCTCTGATTTTAATTTCTACTGTCGCCTAATTTCAAAGTACATCACTTCAGAAGCCGTCTTCATCAGGCTTTTTGCTCGGAGTCGAAAAATGAACATCTGATATCCTTTTCTCATTGAAAAAGTTTTGTAAAAAGGAACACTTTCTGATTCTTTTTTCTAGAACTGAGAAAAGGGAATTTCCATGTTTTTCCAAAGTGATCTTTTGAAAAATATACTCGCTGCGAGAACCTGTAGACCATTTTGTAAGTGTACCTTTAAGTTTTGCGACAGTAGCCGTTTGTATCAATTTTTCCATCTCCTTTTTTGATTTTTTTTTTCGCTTTATTTCCCCTCCTCCCATGACTTAAATTCCGTTAATTTGGATTTACTTATGGGGTTATTCAGGGAGTCGGCAAAAAAGGAAAAAACCCCGCGAAAACTCGGAGAGTGTTCCAATCTGGCTGAAACCTGAAATTCCAGCCAAATTTTCAAAGTCGTTATTTTGACCCCAAACTTTGGTAAAATGTTTCCTATAGTTTTCTCCAGTTTTCCCCAAAGTTTCATCCAGATTCGAACACTCTCCGAGTTTTTGCGGAGTTTTTTTTTCCTTTTTTGCCGACTCCCTGAATAAACCCATTAACCCATTAACAATTTTGACATCGATTTCAAATAAATTTTTTCCGACCTTTCCCTTTTTTTGAGCTCCCCAGGGAGGTGAACTTCCTGGAGAAGCTCTCAAGAAAATTATCTCGTTTCGTGGCCTCGTCGACACGTTTGCTGCCAACCTAACTTTTATTTTTCTTGTACACAGGGTACCCCCAGATTGGCTCGAAGAGCGAAACAATGACGCAAGTTCTGTCGAAATGTGAAAAGCTACCGGATATTTCGAGTCCACGATGGGATCAGAATACTTTCCAAGGTGATTATTAAGAATTTGTAGTTCTAGAATTTGTTGAAAAATTGCTAAACTAGCATTTCAAAAAATGTGAAAATTGAAAACCAATTTCAGGAAGAATGTATCACTTCTTCACCACGGCCAACTGCTTGAATCTCTTCGTCAGCAACGCCACACTCGAGAGAGCACGGAACATCGTCTTGGATTATAAGCAAGGAAAATACGATCCGAACATGACAGTGGACGAGTTGTGGAGAGCGAAAACGCTCTATGATTCGGCGTTTCATCCGGATACAGGAGAAAAGATGTTCATTCTAGGAAGAATGAGCGCTCAAGTACCCTGTAATATGCTGATTACCGGTGGGATGCTCACTTTCTATCAAAAGTAAGATTCTTGAACTTCCTTATGAGTTAATAATATTTTACATTTTAAAGACTTCCTCATGTGATTTTCTTCCACTGGATCAATCAATCATTCAATGCCATCGTTAACTATACAAATAGAAGTGGAGTTCATAAACAAGACGATCGAACACTATTCCTTTCGTATTGTGGAGCCACCACAGGAGCTCTTTCGTGTGCTCTTTCCTTCAACTTCCTCCTCAAAAAATGGAAAAATGCACCGCCTCTTCTCGCTCGTCTCGTCCCGTTTGCAGCTATCGCTTTTGCCAACGCCATCAACATCCCGATGATGAGAAACAAGTTAGCATATTGTATTGCTTCTAAATTTTAATAAAATTATTTTCAGAGAATTCACAAGCGGAATTCCGGTCGAAGACGCTGACGGTAGAACCATGGGATTCTCAACAGTGGCGCCTGAATACGCTATCCCTCAAGTCGTTTTGAGTCGCGTTGGAATGGCAGTACCTAATATGGTCTTTGGCCCAGTGATTCTGGAACAACTATCTAAAGCAACGTGGTACACTCCCGCTATGGCCGCTCCTCTTCAAACCCTACTGTGCGGATTCATGCTAGCAATTTCAACTCCAATTTGTTGTGCCTTGTTCCCACAGAAGAGCTCTATTCAAGTCGATCAGTTGGAGTTGCCATTACAAGAGTACATCAACAAACTTCCGAACCCTCCGAAAACTGTTTATTACAACAAAGGATTGTGAACAATTAGATTTTATTATTTGAGGAATTTTATTGTACATAATTATGGTAGTTTATGATCATCACAAAATTAAGGTCACTTCCATTTTTCTTCCGAATAAATAGTACCGGCTTATTTTGTTTCCCGGCTAAAAAAAAATTAATCAAGCAATACTTTGCGCTTTGAAAATTTTGATTCTAGAAGTTTCGAAATGAATTCCCGAATGTTGAACAGATAGTCTCCAGACATATGGCACGAAGAAATCTACAGTATACTCGTCCTCCACATATCGGAATTTGAGCTCCGGAAATTTCGCCAGCTTATCGGTTGGCCAAACGTTTGCTTCCTTTTCGATAATTTGCATCATTGTCATTCCATCCCCGGCAGGAACATGAACGACTTTTGAAGAGAAATGGGAAATCACTGCAGCAATGTTTACAAGCAAATCCTGAAACATCGGATGCTGAACATATGCGTCGAATAGAGCACGATGATAGAGAAGATTGTAAATGAGATGTGTGTTATGGCGTAGTCCACCGCAGAGGGCGCTGTTAATGATCTCCAAAAGTGTACGAATTCCTTCTTCCAAGGCAGTAATGTCGTCGTGCTGAAAAAAAAAACCATTCTGAAAATTAAAGAAAACTGGATATTTACGAAGTTGATCGGCTGACCACCAGCAACATCATTCTGACTGCTGACTCTCATATGATCCACCATTTTTGCATGACGTTTTGTTAGAAGATCCAAAAGAGATATTAGCCGCTGGCACACAATTGGAGCAAGATTTTTGAAGAATGCAGACATGTTTGCAAGAGCAGCAAGACAGTTCGTATGAAGATATCGATCCTGTTTTATAAGGGGGATTGTGTTTGGAAATAAAAATACACTACTTACTTTTGTCTTCAACGCATTTTTTTGAATAGCTCGGATGAAAACGAGAGCTGTGAGTCCTCCGAGTGAAATTTCGCGGACGCTGAAGTCACTATCAAGCCATCCTAGATCTTTGATCGGCTGAAATTCAATATTTAGTTTATTTTAGATTCCATGGATTGGTTACTACCGTTTCATGAATGATCTTGCAGAATATATCATCTTCACTGAGAATCAAAGCAACAATCAATGCCAGATAGACATGATGTGAATTGTTCGAAGTCGCAACTCCATCATGCAGAATACGGAGGACTGGAACAACGAGATTTTCTAGATTGATTCGGGAGAGAACGTAGTTTCTGAATCCAGAGTTGGCTTGGAGGAGCATATACAGGAGAAGCATTGGAGGTTCCTGCCCAGCGGTGGCACATAATCTTTCGTAGAGTCCATTGTAATCAATTTTGAATGAAATCACTTGAGTAGGAAGTGTGGATACTTCTTGAGCATTTTGAAACAGAGCAAGTGTTTCTTTGAATGGATTCGAAGCGTTTACAGGTTGATGACAAGATAGATTCAGAAGCAGCAGTATACACAGATTTCCAAGTGTTAGTGGTGGTTTATTGTCTTCTTCTGCACTATCTAATCCTGTCGCCATTTGCACCATTGACCACATTGAGGCTAAAAACTAATTTGTAATACTGTTTTTAGAATATTAAAACTTACAAGCCAGTCCGAAAACTATGCTTTCCTGTGGTTTTGCCACTGTCATGTGATACTCAGAGTTGTGAATAAGATAGTTCAGAAGAAGAGTTTTGGTGAGCTTTGCAGCATGTTGGGCGCATGCTCCATCGATGAAAAATCGGAAAACGATTGATGTGTTTACAATTGATTCATTGTACAGTTGCGAGCTCAGAAGAGTCAGAAGACATCGAACTGCTTCTACGTGAATCGCCAGTGTTGTATCGCTAAATAAATAACTGGTTCAATTGATATACAAGAATTTCAAAACCGTACTTGACTGATATGTTGAATAAGATTGATACCAGCTCATATGTGAATTCTTCTGCTGTATTTTGGAACACTATTTGAGCTTCTTTGGTTTCTGAAAGCTGGCAAATATGGCTAGAAACAATACAATATATATTTAGCAATACCTCCGTTGTTATTATCACTTCCTTCCGTTTGTTGAGCATCATCGTCATCTTCGTCATCTGAAGACGATGTAGAAGAAGACTCGGTGCGTTCGTTTTCCTGATTTTTCGCAAATATCCTCACAAATTCTTTTTCTGTCATTCTTTGTGTCAAAAATCTGGCGATGTAACGAAGGATCAGGAGAGCATTTGACGTTTGCCATAAATATATCTTACTGAAGCAGGAATTCTCGCTGAACACTCAAAAAGAATTCTCACTTTTCACACTGTTCTGATGTTTTTAGCTCAGTTGCTCTTCGAAGAAAAAGACGAATGAACGCCGCGAAATTCCCAGTCGTTTGTGTGTTGTACATAAGACACTGTAAATGGTCGTCTAGTGCGGATTCCAATGCAATTCGAGTCTTTCTGAAAATTTCTCCGGATATTGGAGAGCCTGATTAAACTTTCTTACTCATCATCATCGTCAAACTTCAAACTAAATGAAAGTAGTTTGTTCCAAAAAGGATCGTAGTCATCTACAGGCTCCAAGCCACTCAACTTCTTCAAATATACATTGTCCTGGAGTATTGTTTCTTTGGTTATAACTGAACCCATGTGTCTGAAACATTGAGTTTGCTTTTATTGAAAAAAAAATCATTTATTCAATTCGTTTAATTAATCAGGTCGGAAAAAATGATCCAAAAAACATAAGATTTCTCGTGGCAAAAAAACCGGGAATGCGCAAGCTCACCGCAAACGCGCCAACCTACATTATACGGGTCAGCAGAGTAGAAAATATTTTTAAATTTAGAAGAGAACAGCAGCTATTGACTGTTATTTGTGTTGTAAATGTTCTATCCCTGACTAATAATGCAGAAAAATCTTACAGAAATGTCCACAAGGCATTTGTTATTCAATAAAACGTTTTCCCTTATACATTTCTACCGATAACCTTCTTTAATTGACACTCTTTTCAGAAGGAAGTGAGTTCAATCTAAATCTTCCTGTGTATCCAAAATCCAAGTGCTGGTCACTAAAAAAATATGGATCCTTCGATCCCGTCAACGAGTCATCGATCCGTGCCGCCAGATAGGGGCGTACAACCTGATAGAAACCTTCATGTTCAAGAGTTGGAAAACAGGATCCAAAGTCTTGTTCATGGTGGACAGCGAGATGATGTCAAGTTGAAAGAACTTCAAGTTTGTTAAATTTTATCAATTCCAAGATCAAGTTTTTCGTTTTCAGGATATTTGGGCATCACTGGAGAATCACTTCACTGCGAGCTCACATGAGAAAGTCGTTGAAAAGCTGGTTCTCTCCATTCTTCAATTATTCTGTAATACTAGTCCTCAATTCATTTCGGAGAATAACACACAGATGCTTCGCAAATTGATGTTGGAAATACTGCTCCGACTTTCAAACACTGATCCAGTGAAAACGCATAGCAAGGAAATCCTGAAGCAAATGATGAGACTGATTGGAGTGGAGAATGAAGAAAATGCAATACTCGCTATCAGAATTCTCATCGATCAGGGAAGATATGGAAAGCTAGATTACTGCCGAGAAGTTCAATCGCTTTTGCTGTTGATGCGAACAATGGTGAAAGAATTGGCTGAATCTGGTCGCACAGCCGAAATGTTTCTTGTCCGAGAGCTCACAGTACCACCAGCAACCAGTTCTGAAGAGCAATTGATTGCAGAATATCTGACCAAGTGTTACTATGCTCAACCAGTTATTCTGAATGCAAAAGATGGACTGCAAGGTCCCAAATTTAACATGATTCCATCGGCTCATCAATCTATAAAAGTTCTTTTGGAAATGCCGTTTCTCGTCATATTCTTCTATCAGAACTTCAAAACGACAGTTCAAACCGAAGCTTTAGAATTCACACGGCTATGTCTGGATTTTCTGAATGTTCCCGTTCCAGCCGATAAGACCAAATACCATGACGTTCTCACTGATGACTTCGTCACAGTTCAATCTAAAATTCTGTCGTTTGTGAACATTATGGCCAAGATCCCAGCTGTAAGAAGACTTGAAACAATTATTTTATTCAAAGAGAAAACAATTTTCAGTTCATGGAGCTCCTGCAACAAAATGGAGACTCGTTGGTGTCCGGAACGATGCAAATGCTGGAAAGATGCCCTCCAGATCTCATATCAGTCCGCAGAGAAGTGTTACTGGCTGTAAAGTACTTTACAGCAGGAGAAATGAAGTCAAGATTTTTCACAATGCTTCCACGGCTCATATCAGAACATTTTATTTTGGGAACCGGGTTTACAGCGATTGAACTTTTGAGAGTTTTCATGTATCAAATGTTGGCCGACCTTATGCATCACACTCGCGATACAATCAGCTACGAATTGATCTCTCAGTATGTTTCAACTGAATTAAGTCGAAATTTAGCTTATTAATTTCAGTGTGGTCTTTGTCTTCTGTCGGGCACTTCATGACCCGAACAATTCTGCCCAAGTTTTGATCATGTCTGCGCGTCTTCTTAATTCGCTTGCCGAATCTCTCTGTAGAATGGAATCTCAAGCTCCGGTAAGATTGTAAAATCGTTGAACATTCGTATCAATAATTCTTTCTCAGATCAGAGACCTCATGCTGGAAATCTTGGAAGCACAGGTATCGAAACTGAAGGTTATGGCCGTATATCACATTCCAATTCTTTTCCAACAATATGGAACAGAAATTGAATACGAATACAGAAACTATGAGAGGGAGAGTGAAAAACCGAAAGTCAATGTCATGAAGGAGAGTACCCAAAGAGAAGTTCCTAAACGGAGAACCCGAAAACTTTCGATGGATTCTGTAGAAGAACTCGAGTTTCTTGTAACCGACAATGTGAATATGACTGAAAGTGAGCAGAAGCGCAACGAGCTTCCAACACCAACAAAAGAGCATACAAAGAAAACATCACCAGAGGCGATTCTAAACAGTTTGTATGCAGCATCTACTCAGCCACTAGGATTAAGTGAAACTCGGAACCTTATAAAGTACGTAATGCACACATGCAAGTACGTAACTGGTCAGTTGAAAATCAGTCGGCCTTCTACTGAAATGTACCATTGTGTGAGGGAACGAGATCTTTACGAACGACTACTCCGCTATGGAATCATGTGTATGGATATATACGTTTTGCCAGCAGTTAAGAACCAAGCTCAAGCACATGCTTCCCAGCGAACAAAGGAAGAAAAGGAGGCTTTGGAATCGTTAGCCAATGTTTTTACAAGCATTGATCATGCTATCTTCCGAGAACTTTTTGAGAAATACATGGACTTTTTGATCGAACGAATTTACAATCGAAACTATCCCCTTCAACTGATGGTTAACACTTTTTTGGTTCGCAACGAGGTTCCTTTCTTCGCTTCTACCATGCTATCGTTTTTGATGTCTCGTATGAAGATGTTGGAAGTGAGCAGTGACAAAACCGCGCTGTATGTGAAGCTGTTCAAAATAATCTTCTCAGCAATCGGAGCCAATAATTCGACCATCTATCAAGACAGAATGCTCACAAATTATCTTCCCGAGATTTTGAAACAATCGACCGTATTGGCATTGACTGCTCGTGAACCTACAAATTACTTCTTGCTGCTTCGTTCCTTATTTAGAAGTATTGGAGGTGGTGCTCAGGACATGTTGTATGGAACTTTTCTTCAATTACTGCCAAATCTTCTTCAATTCCTCAACAAGCTTACTGTGAGAAGAAACAAAAATTTGTCGTATTTTCATTTCAGTCCTGTCAATTTGTCCTATTTCAGTCCTGTCAACATCGGATACAGATGCGCGAGATATTCGTCGAATTGTGCCTGACAGTTCCAGTTAGGCTGAGCTCTCTTCTTCCATATCTTCCACTTCTCATGGATCCTCTAGTTTGTGCGATGAATGGAAGTCCGAACTTAGTGACGCAAGGCCTACGAACGTTGGAATTGTGCGTAGATAATCTTCAACCGGAATATCTTCTCGAGAATATGCTCCCTGTTCGTGGTGCCTTGATGCAAGGCCTCTACCGAGTCATCTCGAAAGCTCCCGACACTGCTTCGATGAAAGTTGCGTTCAGAATTCTCGGAAAGTTTGGAGGAGCCAATAGAAAGCTTCTCAACCAACCACAACTTCTCCAAGTTCGACGCTTTCCCGATGTATGTTTTCCAACTTAGTTGTATTCAAAAACTTTTCATCTGATTATGAAAAAATAATTTCAGTCTTATCTCAATATGGAGTTCTCTCAAATGGGACTTGACGGAAATCACAGTCTACACTTGCCAATTTCCGAGCTGATGAGAGTTGCTGCTGATCAGATGAGATATCCAGCTGATCAGATTTTCAATCCGAATCCTACAAATATACCTTCACCACATGTGAAAAAGTGCTGTATGGAATTGTCGAAAGCTGTTCTACTCGCTGGTCTAGGTTCATCAGGAAGTCATACGGTCCCCACGAAGGATCTTCCAAAAGTGTTGAAGAAATTGCTGACTGGGTTCAATGTTAATCAACGAACAACTGAAATCTACATTTGTCCGAAAGAAAACGATCGAGAAGTTTATGTTAATGCACTTCTTGTCGTGGCTTGTGAGTTTCAGTTAAATATTCATGAGATCCAACCTAAAAGGTTTTGTATTTGCAGATGGAATTTGGAATAAAGACGGGTTACGCCAACTCTACAGTAGATTTTTCGTCAAGATCATCCGCCAATTCGCTCTTATGGGCGCAATCGAATTCGTCAGCGGAAATGGTTGGATGCAAAATGCCGACGAGGAGGGTGCTCTTCCACTCTGCCTTGATTCATCAGTACTCGTGGATGCTCTAATCACTTGTCTTTCGGAAACATCAACGAGCTTCTTCTATGGCGGAATCATGTGTCTTCGTTATATCAACGAGACTCTCGAATTGGCTTTACCAGACATCAACCAAATGTCGAAAGTTCCACTGTGCAAATATCTGATGGAGAAAGTGTTGAAACTATGCCATGGACCTGCTCAGTACGCAAGAGCTGGCGGAATTAACGCCTTCATGTATATGATTGAGCACTATCCTCGCAAATTCATCATGGACTTTGTCATCGATGTTGTTGACGCGATTATGGAAGTCCTTCTCGGGCTGGTAGAGGAAATTTCAAGTGGATCTGCCGATATTGCAACTGATTGCTTCAAAAAGATGATGCGAACTTATTTCATTCAAGAAGAAAATCAAGAAGAGGAGAATCTGACATTAGCTTCTATCTTTGTTGCAGTCTTCGGAAAGCACTACTTCCATGGAAACGACAGAATCAGAGATTACATGGCGCAACTTATGGAGTACTGTATGATTCAGTCTCGGCTCGAAACCAATCTAGACAAATTCTACTATCGGTTCAGAGAGTTTTTCGAGCCAGAGTTAATTCGAATCATGGAAACACTGCCAACAATGTCACTTACGGACGCTCAAGGAAGTCTCGATGGTCTTCAACGCTTTGTCTTCATTTGTCCAGAAGGTTTCGAGTTCGAGAAAGATTCGGAAATCTACAAAAGATATTTGGTTCATCTACTCGATCTTGCTCAAACTGATACTCAAACCATCAACCAACGAAATGCTTTCAAAAAGTGTGAGACCTGTCCATCTCATTTCCTTCCTCCGTTCCCGATCCTTCATCACATCGATCAAATGCGTGGAAGTGCTCTCCAATGCCTTGTTATTGCCTACGATCGACTGAGAAAACAGTTGGAAAATACGACGAGAGATATAGAAGATGAACAACTGATGAGTGAGATTCTCGCAATGAATTCTCCCAGGATCACCGTGGAACAAATATTCGAAAACAATGAATCGTGGAGAAGATTGATGACAGTTCTGTTAAGAGCAATAACTGACAAAGATATACCTGATATCGCTGACAAACTTTATCCAGCACTCATGAGAGTAACGCCAGTTCCAACCAACATTATTGCGACTTTTGGAGCCAATTACATTCGTAATATAAGTCGAGCTAATGATGAAAATGACCCGGATCGTACAATCACTTATCATGACTGCCGAAAGTTCAGCATTCTCGTTGAACTGAATCCCAAAATACTGGTGAGAAACATTGTGAAAAATCTGGCCAATCATATTATTAAATACAATATGAGCGACAGTATCTCGAATATTTTGGTAATGCCAAATGAAGCAAAAGAGGAAGAAGTGGAAGCATACGAAGCTGAGAAGAAGAGAGGAGTTCGAGATCTGGAAATGATTGGATACACTGCAAAAATGCTTGCTGGTTGTTCGATGGAAATTCTAACTGCTGAAATAATCATTGATATTACTCGTTTTGCCGCTAAATTCGAGTATACCTATTCACAAGATGTTCTACCAAATTGGATCGATGATGTAGTGAAGTTGATGAACAAGGCTCCTGTTGAAGTTTGGAAGTTTTTCTTGTTACGCGAATCAGTTGCCAATCCTGCTCGACGTTCTCTTATCCGAAGAGCCATAATCTTCCCTACTAGTGAGCCTCTGCGAAAAGTTTTCATGCAAACTCCAGAGTACTTGGAACGACTGATAGATTCAAATCTCGATAACTATGACAACTCTGATGAACGTGTCATCATTGATCGCGAAATGTTCCTGCTCTCGTTGGTGGACCGAATCTCCAGAAACTGTCACGACTGGCTCTCAGACCCAAGTTTGTCCCCTATTCCTCAGTTGAGAGCATTTTTCAATGGAACTGAGTTCATGGATAGATACTCCGTCAGGTCAATAATGGTGGAAGAAGCAAGAGAGATTCGAGTGATAAGTATGACAGAAGATAAGTACAAAGTTCCGAAGTTGATGACCAATATCTTTTTGAGATATCTCAGGTTTGTTAGAAAGTATTTTCCGGTTAAACTTATTTTTTACAGAAATAATATCCAAGACTATGATATGTTCTTCAATGTAGTATCGGTCTTCATGGGAAAATTCCAAACCGATTTTACATTCGTCCGAGAATATCTGGAAGTTGAAGTCATTCCAAAAATGCCACTATGGTGGAGAAGAGAGATTTTCATAAAAGTAATGGTGATGTTCGAAGAAAATGCGCAGAAGGCATGCAAGGATTTCCGGATTCTAAAAGCTCTTCAGTACCTGATTCTTCCATCTCTACAATGGGCGTTCGAACGATACGATACCGATGAAATAGTTGGAAGTGCGCCTATAGACGATTCTGAGAATGCAGCAGATGCGGAATCTTCCAACAACACCGAAAATCTTGTCGGGCGTCTCACATCAGTGATCGGAGCGCACCGCCTGGATTTCAGCGATGGAATGATAATTTTGTTCTATCAATTGTGCACTCTATTCGTTCAGCATGCACCTGAGCATATTCACAACAATCATTGTAAGAAACAAGGTGGACGTCTTCGGAACTTCATGCTTTTCGCTTGGCCGTGCCTTGCCACTCCGAACCGTCAGGACCCGACTTTGAGATACACTGGATTCTTCTTCCTCGCGAACATAATCGAACGATTCACTATAAACCGGAAAATCGTTCTACAAGTGTTCCAACAACTCATGACAAACTATCAGCAAGATACGAGAGATCAAGTTCGTCGAGCTATTGATATTCTGACTCCGGCGTTGAAAGTCAGAATGGAAGACGGACATCAGCAGATTCTAACCCAAGTTAAAAAACTGCTTATCGAAGAAGGCCATATTTTGCAGCATATTCAACATATTCTGTAAGTTTTTAAATACACTTCACCCGTTCATTTTATCATTCGTTTTCAGAGGTACAATCATTCGTAACTGGCGGGTTTACTATCATATTCGTCATGAGATCCTCACTCCTCTTCTGAATGCAGTTCAACGAGCCCTCACCATGCCAAACAGTGTTATTGAACAGTGAGTTATTTATAAGCAGGATGATATAAAGCTTAAAAATGTACAGAAATTCCAGCGCTCAAACTCGAAAACAAGCGATCGAAGTCTGTGAAATGATCATCAAGTGGGAGCTGCTCAAACTACACAAGACAGATCATATCATCACTGACGATGAGGCTAATGAAGTCGATAAACTATACGAGAAACTTCGTGGTGCTAGTAGTCCGGATAGGTACGATTTTGAGGATCAGCAAATGAAAAAGGATCTTCTCGACTCTCAACGTGTTATCACGAGAGAACATGTGGACATCGTTGTGAATATGCTGATGCGGTTCTGTGTGATGTTCCATACAAGTGCCCAGAACAATTCCACTTCTGGACAACAAGGTGCCGAGCTAGTCAAGAAATGCCAGTTGCTCCTCCGAATCTGTCTTCGTTCGAGTGTTTGGGGAGACTTTGTCAACATTCGAACTTCGATTCTCAACAACTACATCGTTGTTCCGTCGGAATTGATCCCGAAACAAAATGAAGTCCAAAACCCGGAGTACGTGCTTGCTGCTAACAATTCTCAATATACCATCGAAATGCTGAATGTTATCGTTCCAATTCTGCCGAAACCCACTTTGAAGAACGTTCTTAATATATTGCAACCAGCACTTATTGGTGTTATTCAGTCTAGTGGTCATGTAAGTGATTGTAAATGTATTAGATGTTTCTAACGCCCAAATTCAGATGTCCCGAGGAATCACACAGTTGATTTCTCGGCTAGGTGAAAGAACCAGTGTTTCAACAAACGGCTTAGATGAATTCGAATTGCTCAATTCCTACATAGTTAAATATATTCATGATAGTTTCTCAACCATTTTGAGGTGCGTTTTAATTTGGATTTCTATTTATAGTCTAAACCCGTTTTTCAGAAATCAAAACGCGCCAGTCTTGAGTGTTCTCGGTTCATTCACTCTACTTCGAGCAATGTGTGGCCACGAGGCAGGATTCTTGGACAATTTCATGCCAACTTTCCTCAAAGTTATGGATAGAGTGGCGAGAGAGCACCTGCAGTTCAATAGCAGACAACAACCATCAGTACAGAAAAGTAAGTAGTCAAGATATAAAACATATCAAACCATCATGGAAAAGAATTTTTAGATCTATCTGAGTTGACGTGTGTATGCATGGAACTGGTGCGCCAAAGAATCGATCATATCGGCTTGGAGTTGAAACGAACAACGATAACCGATGTCATGACAGAGCTTATCTTCAAGTCAACAAGCGAAAGGGTAATCCAAGTATGTGCGAAGCTGATAGGAGCCATGCTGTCTCCAACCGACATGGAATTCTCACTTCATACCTGTCTTCAACAACTGGTTCGAATTCAATCAGTGATCATAAGCAAGTTCAAAAACTGTAAAGAAGTCATTACGGAGTTTCTTGTCGTTGTTATCAAGGTTTTTGAGAACGCTGAATATCGAAACTCGGAATACGGAGCTCGTCTGTGGGAGGCATTCTTTTGGGGTCTTAAGAGTACGGATCCAACGACAAGAGATAGTTTCTCAGCCGTCTGGGAGATGACGTGGCCACAAATGTCAACTGCTGATATATGTCACAGAATGAAGTACATCATGAAGCACCAAGATTGGTCGAAGTTCAAACATGCGTTTTGGTTGAAATTTGCGCTATGGGGAATGTTAAGAGCAATTTCTAAACGACCAAAATCTGTGAACAATCCAAAGAAGAAAGTGGTGATGTTGAATTGTGCAACTCCGTGGAGGACTATTGAATATGCTGCAAGACTCAAAGAGCAACATATGGAAACTGATCCGATGATTAAGCTTGAAGAACCAGAACCAATGGAAGTCGATCAGCCGAAAAACGCTCCAGCGGAAGAGCCGAAAGACAATAAATTGTCATTGGATGATTTTCTAGCTGGTCAACAGGAACTTCTCGAGGAAGCCGCGGAATTCGACTTTGCTGATGCTCTAGATACAGTCTCTCAAATCACATTTGGAATCAATGATAACGGAATGACTAGTAGGATCTGGGTGACCTTTTTCAAATCGTTCTGGGCATCACTACAACCGCGAGAAGTCGAGGATTTCACTGCGTTGATTGTGCCGTTTTTGAGCAGTGGAGTTCATAATCAATTCCAAACTGGTGTACAAGACAGTGTTCTGGCTGTTTGGCTTGAGGCGATTGGTGAAAAAGTACCATTGCCATCAAGTTTGATCGAGGTACTTTAATTTTTTTTAAATCTTACCTTGTATTCATTTTTTCAGTTCATCTCATCAAAGCACGAATGTTGGTATACGGGAATTTCAATCCTCGAAAGCAGTATTTGGTCCATACCAAAACAACTCAATAATACTCTCCTAGGCAACATCAATTGTGATCGTTCTCTGACTTCCAATATCGAGACTCTCGAATCATTAGGAGCTTTGTACAAGGAATTGGCGGAATTCGACCAGTACTCTGCAATCTGGGAACGTCGTTCCGTCTTCCCTGAAACAATGAAGGCGATGTCAGCATTACAATTGGGTGATATGGACACTGCTGCAAGCATTCTCGAACAAGCGATGAATAAAGAAATGGAACATCTTCCTGTACCTACGGCTAATGGTAAGTAACGGCGTCTGTGTTCACATTCTCACCCAAAAAAGATTTGGATATTCCAGCTGCTCCACCCGGCCCTAACGACAGACAAATCTCGCCAATCTATGACCGGGAGTATGAACAATGGATGCAAATGTACATGTCGAGCTGTTCCGAATTGCTTCAGTGGCAAACTGTCGCCGAAATCTCCAACAGCAGAGAAGTGCAAGATGTTCGAGGAATAATCACAGCTGCTTCGCATATTCCGGATTGGAATCTTGTCGAAGATTGCAGAAGCATGTTGTCTGGTTGTATCCCTCCAGACTTCCATTTAGAATACACTGTTTTCAATTTGATGAGTACTGTTATGGTAAGCGTGTATAAATTGATTGTTTTGATATTTTATATTAATTTCAGAGATTGAATGAATCTGTGAATGTGCCTCATGCTCGGGAAAGATGCAAACAAGCGCTTCAAGAATGTATCGAAGCCCATATCAGCCGATTCAGAGCACTTCCGTCTGTCACCTCTTATGGCCACGTCAAGATTCTTCAATCTATGAATTTGGTCCGAGATATAGAAGAGTCGATGGAAGTTCGGATAGCTCTTCTCGAACAGCCAACCAAAATGGATCAAAGTTTGATGATGGACATGAAAAGTTTAATGAAAGTTTATCGGAATCGCACACCAACCACGGCTGATGACATGGGATTCGTTGCGACATGGTACGATTGGAGGAATCAGATTCATGGGATGATGCTTCAGAGATTTGAGTGGTTCGATAAATCTTCGGTAAGACTCGCATTTTCTCCTATGAAACTAATTGTCATTTCTTGCAGCTCAGTACTACCGGTAACGGTAATCAATCAATTGTTCCGATCCATTCCATGGCTCAAGCACAGCTGACGGTGGCTAAACACGCAAAGAGCTTAGGATTCAACAATCTCGCCAAAGATCTTTTGAACAAACTTGGAGGTTTGCCAGCTATCCCAATGATGGATGCAGTTGATAAAGTTTGCACATATGGAAAAACACTTCGTGCATTGTCTAATAACGTCGATGATGAGAGATCGAAGCAGGAACTTTTGTATGAGGCTCTTGAAGTGCTTGAAGACGTTAGAATCGATGATTTGCAAAAAGATCAAATTACCTCACTCCTATTCAATAGAGCTACAATTCATTCGGCTCTCGGACAGTAAGTCTTGCTATTCATACGTATCTAAATTTAAATTCACAAATTCAGAACTGCGAACGCTGATCGAGCTTTCTCGGCGGCTGTACAATTGACCGACATGAAAACTGCAAACGTTCCAACGGGAATAAAATTGTTCCGGCAGTGGGGTAATCATCTGAATAAGCTCTTCTTCGATCAGTCCCAGATGGTATCCAAAGAAACGAGCGAAAACTTCGGTAGACAAGCTCTTTCCTGTTATTTCGTCGCTGCACGTGTGGATGGTGACCTCAAAGCTCGGAAACCTATTGCTAAAATTCTGTGGATAGCGAAACATTTGATGGCTAGCGGAGCTTCTGAAGCACTGAACAGAGTCATCCAAAAACATCTTCCATCCTTGAATCTCTTCAATTGGCTCTACTGGATACCACAGCTAGTCACTGAAATCAGTCACCAACCAAACAACAACTTTATAATGGTTCTGTGCAGAGTAAGTTTGAAATCGGAAAGTTTCAACTCTAATGGCGCGTCCAAAGTTTCCAAATCTGGGATTTCTGGGCCCAGAAAACAGTCCAAAGTGACGCCCAGATTCCCAAGATTTCTAATTGAGCAAAATTTGAACCAATGCGACGATGTAATTTTTTATTGAATCAAAATATGCAGAAAAGCATGTAGATTCACATAAAAACAAATAAATTTTCAAAAAAAAGTTCCTTCATTGAGAAAAACGCATCGGAAAATTATTCCTTTTCGGATGAGAGCCCTGGCTTTTTCTCGATGAAGGAACTTTTTTTGAAAATTATTTATTTTTATGTGAATCTACATGTTTTTCTACATATTTTGATTCAATAAAAAATTACATTGTCGCACTGGTTCAAATTTTGCTCAATTGGAAATCTTGGGAATCTGGGCGTCACTTTGGACTGTTTTCTGGGCCCAGTAATCCCAGATTTGGGAACTTTGGACATACATTTTTCATTTTCATAAATTTTTCATTTTCAGATAGCTGCTGCTCATCCCCTCCAAGTGTTCTACCATATTCGCGAAGCAGTTTCTGTAGAAGATATTGATGCAGTTTTCGCTCAAGATTATACAGAAGAAGAAATGTCAATGGATACACCTGATGACGAAGCTTTCTCCAACGATCCGCCATTTTCCCGAGCTCTGAAAATATGTCTCAAGTATCGTCCTACAGACATACGCGTCTTGCATCGGATTCTCAAAGAACTCGATCAAATGACAGAGACATGGGTTGAAAGACATTTACGCTTCGCCGTAGCCATCAAAGATCAGTTATTCGAAGATTTTGCTGAACAAATGGATGCTCGTTTCAATGAGATGCAATTCTCAGGTGCTGTATACGAACTAACTCAGAAGTGGAAACGTCAACTTGAAGAAGACTATAAGTTCTTTGAGAATAACTACAACCTGGATCTTTTGGAAATCAGGAACAGACGGAGGGTTATTGTGACGAAGGGATACATGGGAACTGTGCCAAGTCAAATCATGTTCGAAAAAGAACTGAGTCAAGTATTCACTGATCCACCAGAGATGAAGGACGAGTTTGAATATGTTACTGAAATCACGAAAGTAATTTTTGATCAACTAGACATTCGATCACCACAAGCCCCTCGTCCAGCACTTTTCGTTCGTACGGTTATGGAATGGATTCGAATTATTCGTCGTCGGTTTGATAGACTGCCAAGACGTGTTCCTATGGAGATTTCGAGCCCTTATCTCGCGCGATTCAGTCATCGTACTGGTTGCATCGAAATGCCATATGATCTTCTTAATGTGCTACGTGCGAAGAATCACAGTCTAAATGCCACTAATCAAACTGGACAGTACATATCGATGATGTCTCGATTTGAACCGTATTTTGAAATTGTGATGAGAGGCGGACAAGTTACTCGAAAGATCTATCTTCGAGGACAAACTGGAAAAAGTGCAGCGTTCTACCTCAAAAAGTCTATCAAGGATGAGCGAACGAATCGGGTGCCCCAGATGTTCAAGCATGTCGATTACCTTCTTCAGAACGATAGAGAAACTGCGAGAAGACATTTATCTGTCCCATCACTTCTTCAAATGAGAGTCAGCAAGAACACGACATTCTGCGAGATTGCCTCTGTCCAACCGTATGCTATACCGCAAGATTGTTCAAGAAATTATCCAGCATCGCAAATTGAAGTCATGCATCCTTATGAAGTTTTGACATCCACATTCAACGGACTGTACTCTCCAGATGACATGGTTATGCATTTCTATGAAAGATTCGCTGACAGTTGCTCTTCCATCGGACAGCCTCTCCCGCAGAACATAGATCCTTCAATGGCATCGCAACCACGACTTACTGAACCGCACCATGTGAAGAACATCATTTATGAGTGAGTTTCCTTTTATTACTAATGACTGATTTCAATTATTAACATTGTCAGAGACTTCGCCAGGGATATGATTCCATTCCGACTGCTGACTGATTACCTTCTTGCACGCTATCCGGATCCAGTAATGTTTTACGCTATGCGAAAGCAGTTCATTCATAGTTTCGCCGTCCTCTCCATCATCGAATATCATTGCAATCTGTCTCCAATGACTCCTCACCAAATGATAATCTCTATGAATACTGGAGTTCTAAATAATCCATTCTACCGCTTCGAACTTGGAACTGGGCAACTTATGGATATCGAACATTTTGCTCATGAAGTTCCCTTCCGCTTAACGCCAAATTTGATGATGTTCGTTGGAGTTGCTCAGGATGGAGATTTGTTATGGAGTATGGCAGCAGTGGCTAGATGTTTAATGAAAAAAGAACCAGGAGCTGTGATGAGACCATTGCTCTGGGATGAGTACGCCAATAATGTTAATTATGAAAACATGGTGAGTTGAAAAAAAGAATGACCTGAAACATTTTCAACCGATTGAATTTCAGATTTACATTTGCCACGCTGCGAATTCCTATGTCAAGTGCATCGAAAACAAGGTTGCAATGACGAATCGCCATGATGCCAAAGTGAAGAAAGACGACTGCAATTCGCTGATTATCCGGGCCAAAGATTCCGACAATCTGTCTCGAATGCCCCCAACATATCACGCTTGGTTCTAAATCTCTGTTTCATAGCTTATTTCCCCAGAATCTCTCCCCAGAATCCGTGATTCTACCGTTTTTGATCTCTTGTTGCATGTTTTAACCTTATATTATTCACCACATCTCTTTCCTTTCAATATATTGGCATTTTTCTTTAACTAGGAGTAACTATTTACTGAACGCTGTGATCTTTCATTTTAACAGGTATGTAAATAATCTAGTTACTCTGTTATGAATAAAAATTTTCAAAAAACAATGTGACTTCTGGTGTAACGATTGCCTGAATTGAGATAATTTGAGGCAATTTTCTAAAAGAAACTCGTGCGGCTCTTGATTTTCCTCGTCCCATCGACAAATTTGGCAACCATTGTTTATTGACACTATACGGACAAAGAAGAAGAAGAGAAGACAAACAAGAAGGTGATGATACTGTTCTTATTGTATTTTTCTTCTGTTTTTTGACTACATCTGAAGTAGTTGTTTTTACGGATCACAAACTCTTCAGTTTGAAGATTTTGTCTTCTCCTTATGCTTCTTTTTCTTCTTCTTCGCCCTCTCCTTCTCTGGTTTCTTTCCCACATTAGCATTTCAGATTTTGTCCACTTCCGGTTGGTAAGAGGCCGGGGATCTTTCACTCTTCGTTTTCTCTTTTTCTCCAGAGTAAATTATAGGTTCCAGATGCTTTTTCTCCCCCGGCATCTCATTTTATTATTTGCATTTGGTTGCATTGACGTAAGGAGCCTCACGAGAGAGAGTTAGTAAAACAGATATCTATATAAACCAGCTCGAATTGCATTGTTTTGCATGTAAAACACCAGATTCTTGTGATCCACTTTGTACTAATACTCGAGAAGATCTACTGGTTTCTTGCTGTGTGGTGACGGCATAACTTGATGGAGTTCAAATAAATTACCATAAAACCTATACTAGAAGAGCCCCTTTAATAGTAGGACCCCTCTAATAGAAGGGCTCTCTGGAGGTACTTTGAAACATTACAGGTTTTAAGCATACTTGCAACGGGCCGGGCCGGGTTTTTATTCAGAATTTTCAGGGCCCGGGTTTTCAGAAAAAATTTTCCTGTATTTTCAAAAAAAAATGTTTGGGGTCAATAGAAAAGAATGGACAATTTTTCTGTCAAGTAAAAAAATTTTCAAAATAAGAGTGTCCATAAAAAATGATTTTTTTACAGTCATAATTCCTTCCCTTATCAATATTTTTTAGATAAGCTAGAACTCAACGAGCACTACAAAATGATATAACTGGGAAAACTGTATCTTAGCCGAAAAACCGCCAGGGACCGAATTGGCAGTTTTATGGTTTATAACTTCGTTTATAGATAAGATACTGTTTTCCAATGTGTATCGCTTTGTAGTGCTCGTTGAGTTCTATAATATCTATCTAATTTAGGTGCTCAAAAAATATGAACTCTATAAGAAACGATGACAAGGCCCGCTTTCAAATATGCTTTTGACTTTGAGCCAATTTTTCTCGATTCCTGTCAAAGATATTAAAAAGTGGTGAATTGACAAATTGTTTATCATAATTTCAAAATTATTTTGTTAGTTGACACATTTTTTATATTTTTTACAGAAGTCGAGATAATTGAGCTCAAAATTGACGGTTTGGGTGGGCTTCTTTTACAGGTTTCACGGTATTCTAAAAGTATTCTAAAGTTCGGAGAAGCTATGTCAATTTTTTAAAAGTTTTTTGTTTTCTACATTTTTCTGTACTCTGAAATTTATCCATTTTAGTTAGAGAGTCAAAAGAGACACGATTTTTTCTCCGTTTTCCACATGATTTTCCACCCATTCCACACGAATTCTAAAACATCAGCAGCCGACTTTTTTTGAACTTTGCTCCTCCTGGCTTGAGATTTTCTTGTATGTGTCTTGTCGTTCAGGGGGGCATTTCTCTGTCAAATATTTACCGATTCGCGCCTAGAGGAGAGTCGCTAAATAGTGAAGGAACAACACTCGTTCTACACAAAATAATATTCTAAAGTTGCGAACTTGAGACAGATTAAGTGGCTCGTGTTTTGGTCTTAGTCTTTGCTCTTAAACACCCCCCATGACTGACGATGATTGTTTTAATTAATTTTCTTCGCACAAACATTCCTCTTTCCAGTCCTTCTTTTCTGTAACCGTTGCTCTCGGGAATAGGAAAAAAATTAAACTTCTCCGTTTTTGGATCCTTTTGCAACCATCAATAAACCTTCCATTCCTAGGAATTCCTTCTCTTTCAATGCATTTTTTTCTGCTTTCAATCCGATCCGGCATCGTCGGTTCGACCTGCTCTTCGAAATGTTGCTTTCCATGCAGACCACGCCCATTCTTTGTTGCTCTAAAAGCCCTCTGCCCTTCCCTCTCCACACAGGCCTTCCCTTCACCGTTCCAAAACTCCAAAAACGGGTCAAGGTCAAAACACGCTTACCAAATATTTGCTCCTCGCCCCAGTCCTGTTCATCTTGGAAAAAGGAAAAGAAAGAAAATGGAAAGAGACCTCCTCCCCCTCCTTTTATGGTTATGGCCGATCGGAGACAGTCAGTCAATCCATCGGATAGCCTCCTCTCGTTTTGGTTATCAGTGGATTGTGTCCTGTCCATTTCACGATTTGGTGGGAATCGTTTCTTCATCTCTTTCACTCTCTACAAGGAACAGTTAGACAGTTTCCTCCCTTGTGGATAATCTTTAGACAACTTTCATTTCATTTGATGGAGTGGTTCTTCCATGAGTCTCGGTCCAAGGTTAAATTTGACATATTTCAATTCGAACCTATTAATTTTAATACAAAACGATAAAAACCAGTTCTTATCTTTTTCATCTTGCCCTCCCTGCTGCGGATGACCGAGTGACGTTCTCTGTTCTTAAACACTTTCTTCACAACTATCATCTCATTTTTTTTCAAGACCTCTTTTTTCAATTTTTCAATTTTCAGGAGCCATGACGACTCCCAACGGCCCTCGAGTCGTCTTCCTAATTGCCGTTTGTTGCTTGGTTCTTGGTGGCACTGTGTGTGCTTTGCCACGAGTTCCATTCGTCGTCAACAATGATGTGAATGCGACGAAGACGGAAGACAAGACCGAGGAGAAGAATACAGTGGTTGAGGAGGAGAAGAAGACGTACACTGTTGGCGATTCAGAAGGATATCAAGAGGCTTCTCGACTTCTCCAGAAGAGTCTGAACTTGTCTCTGGATCCATGTGAAGACTTCTTTGAGTACGCCTGTCGTTCTTGGGTCGACGCTCATCCAATTCCTGATGATCTCACTTCCTACTCACAATTCACTGCCACTAGAGAAAAGGTTTTAGCCGAAATGCGAAAGCTGTACGAGGACACAACTACGACTCCGACCTCCAAATCGATCGCTCTTGTCAAACAGATCTACCACACTTGCATTGACACTGAGAAACACAATGCCGTTGGAGCACGTGATCTGTTGGAGAAAATCAAGACATTCGGATACTGGCCAATGGTACACAACGAAAAATGGCGCGAGGCCTCGTTCGATCTCACAAAACTTCTTTCCAATACGATTCAGTCTCGTGACGTCTCCGTCTTTTTCGATTATGGACCAGCTGAGGATTCTCGTAATGTTTCTCGCCGTCTTTTGAGTTTTGATCAAGGAAGTCTTGGATTGGGATACTCTACTCGTGACTACTATTTGGATGAGAAGAAATACGAAAAGCAGATGAAGGCGTACCGTAAGTACACCATTGGAAAAGTTAGATACTACACAGAAGACGCTGGAATGACTGTAAACGAAACCAAAATCGAATCGGATGTTGATGAGATTATTGCATTTGAGAAGCAGTGGGCAGCTATCCTGGTGGCTGAGGAGAATCGTCGTAACTACACGAAACTTTACAATGTCAGACATTTCAATGATCTCAAGGAGTATATGCCAATTGTAAGTTACATTCAGAAATTTTATCAGTTTAAATAAGAATTTCAGATCGACTGGAAGAAACTTACCCTTTCCACAACTCCTTTCCTGGTCCACGCATACATGAAGACCAATCCAATCATCATTATATCTGATGTAGAGTACCTTCAGAAGATGAACACTCTCCTTCAAAACACTGATCCACGAATCGTCACAAACTACGTCTTGCTCCGTTGGGCTGGATCATGGAGTCAGGAAATCGGTAAAAAGTATGAAGACTTGCAACAAGAATTCGCTTTCCAAATGTACGGTCGCAAACAAAGACAACCACGTTGGAAGGATTGTGTCAGCAGTGCTGGTGGAAAACTTAGCTATGCTTCAGGTATGTTGAAACTACAAATCTTCATTTAGTAATTATTATTTTCAGGATCAATGTACGTTCGCAAGTATTTCGATGCCAAAGCCAAGAGCACTACTCTCGACATGATCGCCGATCTCCAAGAAGCCTTCCGCAACATGATGCATGCCAATGACTGGATGGACGCCGAAACCAAGAAGTATGCTTTGGAGAAAGGAGATCAGATGTTGAAGCAGATTGGTTATCCAGATTTCATTCTCAACGATGAGAAACTGGATGACTGGTACAAGGGATTGGATGGAGCACCAGAAGACACTTTCAGTCAACTTGTCGAGAAGAGCATCCAATGGCGCAACAACTTCTACTATCGGCGTCTCTTGGAACCAGTCAATAGACACGAATTCATTTCTAGTGCTGCTGTTGTTAACGCCTTCTACTCTCCTACCAGAAATGCTATCGCATTCCCAGCTGGTATTCTTCAACAACCATTCTTCGACGCTCGTTTCCCGAAAGCTCTCAACTACGGTGGAATTGGAGCTGTCATTGGACACGAAATCACTCACGGATTTGATGATACTGGAAGACAATTCGACAACGTTGGAAACCTTCGTGACTGGTGGGACAATGCTACTTCTTCCAAATTCACCGAACGAGCTCAATGCATTATCGAACAGTATGCTGATGTAGAACTTCGTGGAACTGATCTACGCATCAATGGAAAACTGACACAAGGAGAAAACATTGCCGATAATGGTGGAATCAAGCAAGCTTTCAAGGCCTACAAGTCATTCCTTGAGAAACATGGTGGTCAGGAGCCCCGTCTCCCTCATTTCGAATCCCTATCCAGCGAACAACTCTTCTTTGTCGGATACGCTCAAGTTTGGTGTGGAGCGAAGACACCAGAAACAAAGACATTGTTGCTTCTTACTGATCCTCACTCTCCAGAAACTGCCAGGTAAATATACAATGAGAAAAGTGGTTTTCATTCAAATTATTTCCAATTTACAGAGTAAACACCGTGCTTTCAAACCAGCCAGAATTTGCCGAAGCCTTCAAATGCCCAGCCGGCTCGCCAATGAATCCCACAAAGCGATGCGTAGTGTGGTAATCAGTAAAATACGGGAAAGACGTCAACTCGCTTCATCTCATTCACAGAATCTACTAATTCTTTCATCTTCCACCTCTATTCTTTTTCACTGTCCTAGCTGTATATATTGTTACAAACAATAGCCAAACGACTTTACTGTGTTTCACTCGTTATGTATTTTTCTTGAATTTCAGTATATCATATTGATAGATGTTCATGTTCATTCCAGAAAATTTTCCGGCAAATAAACCATGATTCTTCTATACATATTCTTTTATGTCTTCTGAAACGACTGGTAAAAACGAAACAATAAATTATGGAGGAACACTTTACAAATATATCATAGAACTTTTGAGGGACCTAATTCTAGGGGCACAAGTGATTTGGGAGCACAAATTCTCAGGGGGTACATGCAGTTTATTTGGGAGGTAACTTGTTCATCTTGAAAGTAATTAACAGAAACGTGATTTTTCTTCTTGTTCGTGATTAAGCCTATAATAATAATAGAGTTTTGAGGTAACCTGCCATCTAGAAAATTCCTGTACCATTGCAAAAAAAACATCTTTCCAACCAAAAGTTATCGAAACATTCATATTAAAATATTTGGAAGCTGATGGAATAAATAGTGACATATGTTCTATAAAACAGGTTTATGCCCTTCGAGTGATCACAAGTTTCGCAAATGCAATACAGATGTTCGGCTCAAACCCCGACAGAAAAACTCATCCTATTTTTGAAAATTTATGAGAAGAAACATTCCAAAATTTTTCGAATTTTTGAACATCGAAAAAATTTTCTTTAAAAAACAAGTCCTCAAACATAATTTTGGAAAGTATCAGAACCAAACCAAAAGTTTCCATCGTTTTATTCGAAAAACGAAAACGGAACTTTTAATTTCATTTTCATACGGAGAAGAACCCGGAAAATTATCTTCGAATACCGTAATCACTCTAATAGAACGCCCCCCCCCCCTTCCAACTCGTTTATTTTGAGCATATCTCGGTTCCTGTAGTAGATATCAAAAAATTTTCAACTGGCAAAATGCTTATTATAATATCAAACATTTTTTGTCAGTTGATCATGTGTTGATATCTTAAACAGGAAATTAGATATGTTAACTCAAAGTTGAACGGAGAGCGTTCAGTTAGTGTTTACGGTATATAGGGAAAGGACTGTATCCCCACAGGAGGTCCCTAACGCAGAAAAGAATTGCCCAATGGTCCATAACCTTGCTGTTGTCCACTTTTTTCCTCACCGATCAATAATCTGCCATTTAAAAGATATATTCCGATTTAACCACATTTTAATAGTTTGCATAATATCTTCTTCATCTCATAATAATTTCATACGGGTCGACAGATAACACTGATCCAAAACAAGATTGTGTTCATTTTGTGATTCTAGTTTTATTTTGAGCTGAATTCGGCACGGAACCTAGTGTTCAGATAGAGTTCGTCTAGATTCATCATATGATACTAATGCAGAACAGACTTAATACATGAACCCTTCATCCACTTCGAAAGTTTCTTAGTCGACCAAGACTTCTAAAGCGACAATTCATCTATTAAAAAGCACACCATCAATCATCCTTTTATTTCATTTCCACATTGAAAACTGCTTATTTCCAGAATGCCTATCAATCTCCTCAAACTGCCTTGTTTAGTTCGTGACTTGGTTGTAACCCAGTTGGAGTACCAGGACCTATTTCTACTCAGTATATGCCCCCGTCGTACAAAATTTTTTGGGGAAAAAAACAAGAATCAAAATTTCAAAATTAATATTTCTGTTCGAAGAAAGTCATGGATATAACATATTTTCGATTGGAGTTTTCATTGATAGGTGTATGTGGATTCCTGTGACATCATTGTTACATGTTCACACATTGGCCCTAAAAGAAGTTTGTACAGTGAAGCTCGACCATGATCACGAAGCATCTACAAAGTGGGTTTTAGTTTTAGTTACATTTAGTGCGAACTTTTTGAAGTAACACATTTTAGATTAGATTTATTTTTTTTCAGAGCGGTGACCAACAGTACATAAGAAAAAGGCAGCCCCCTCACGAGGAGCGCCTAATAAGTAAAAAAAAGAGAAGAATAATGGAAAAGGGAGGAATTATATACAGTAACATACATGTGTAAAAAAAAGGATAATAGCTAGTAGCGAGAAATAGAAGAATCAAGGAGATTTTCAAATTGGGACGGGGTGAGGAAGTGGGGTACATTGGCAGTTATGGCATTCCAAAATGGGATGGTGGATGCAAAAAAATCATTGATATGAGGATTGAGGCAAATTAAAGTCATGGGGCGACGGGCAGAGTTAGATAAGCGGAAATGAGATTCGGGGTGGGGAATGTAAGTAGTAAGGTTAATTATTTTGTACAGAAGCATTAACTGTGATTTAAGGCGTCTATGACGCAAAGAGAAGAAATTGAGAATTTGGAGTCTGGAAGGATAAGAGGCACCAGGGGAAGACGAAAATGGTATAATACAACGTTGGCAAATGGTTTTTGGAGAAGAAACGAAGGGGGGACTCAAGTTTTTTAGACAGTTTGGAATCGGGATGGGGGGAAAATATGACCGAGCAGTATTCCAGGAAAAATGTAAGTTGGAGGGAAGGGAAAGGAGAAGATCGTTAATAAATATGATGAAGAGTAGGGGACCGGCTACAGTGCTTTGAGGAACGCCAGAGGCGATAGGGTGAGAAAGAGGTTCAATGAAATGGTTAATTTTGACAGAAAAGGAGCGGTTAGTGAGGAAGTCTTGGAACCAGGAGATGAAGAGGGGTTGAACACCAAAATTTGCCTATTTGGCTAAGAGGAGGGCATGAGATACTTCATCGAAAGCCTTGCAAAAATCAAAATATACAACATCTAGGGTTTTATGACGGGCCAGAATCATCTTATAACTGGAAATAGAGTGTATTAGGGCATTTGTACAGGAACGGTATGCTAAGAAGCCATTTTGATAGGGGCTGAATTTGTGGGCCAGGTCAGATTTAATTCTATTACAAATGATGCACTCGAAAATTCGAGCAAAAGGGTCAGTTAATGATATAGGTCGATAATTTTCTGGTAGGGAGGGACTGCCTTTTTTGGGAATAGGAACAACAATTGCATGTTTCCAGGCAAGAGGAACATGGGACTTGGAATAGGATTCATGGAAAATGATGGAGAGGGGAAGAGCTAGTGAGGTGGAGCATTTTTTAATAACAAAGTAGTTTACGGGGTGGAGTGAGAAACCACGGCGGGGTGGTAACTTGGACAAAACAGATTCAATGACCCAAGGGGCAAAGAGATCAGGGTCAGGTAGGTTTTGACTGCCCCGAGAGCAGACAGAGGGGATGGGAGGGTGTGAGGAATTGAAGTTGTTAGAGAATGAGGAGACGAAGGATGAGGCTTTTTCAGAATCAGCGGATATTATTTTGCCATTAACAACCAAAGAGGGAATGGAGGATGGGGATTTGAGGCGCCGTTTAACTAGTGAGAAAACAGAGGTTCGGGTTAGGGATGTTAGGATAGATCTATCAGAATATATGTTGCGATATTTGAGTTTTTTGGTAAGGGACAGGAGGCGTGAATTTAGGTTGAGAAGAAGAGTAGGGGAGGGGTTTTTTGTTTTGAGGGCCTTAGCGAAATTTTTACGAGTATTGAGTATTTTTCGGGAGAGGGAGGAGGGAGCGATGGGTTTGGTGGCAGAAAGGATAGGGGTGTGAAGATAGACCAGGCGAGAGATTTTATCAATGAAGTTATCAAACATGCAAGAGGCATTAGGGTAGGAGTGGAGGACAGAAAACCAGTCAATAGAGGCAATGTCAGAATTTAGGAGTTTAAAGTTACATTTTTGGTATTTTAGGGAAGGCTTGGAGGAGGGAGAATAGGAGGAAGAGCCTGTATTGGAACTGGGACGGGGAAGAATATAAAACTCTACGGAACAATGATCTGGGTTGAGTAGGGCCGCTTGGGGGGAGACATGAGCAACGGGCAAATCGCTGGAGGAGACAACTAAATCAAGAATATTGGAGGAGGTGGAGGAAATGCGGGTGGGGAAACGGACCTGTTGGTGAAGACCTTTGGAGGTGATAAAATTTAAAAAGGGGTGAGGAGTGGGAGAAGGAAGATACCATTTGATAGATGGGAAGTTAAAATCACCCAATAGAAGGCAAGAAGTGAGGGGTAAAAATGTGTCGAGATGGGAAAGAAGGGCGGCAGATTCGTCCGATGAAAGGTCAAGGGGCCGGTAAACAATAACAACAGTAGTGGGGAGGAATGGTGGGACCGGAGAGCGGGAAGACGGAGAAAGAGAGCATGAGAGAATTTCGGAACGATGGGATGGGTAATGGTGATCGAAACGGATATCAATGAGGGAGAGGGAGCAGAATTTATTTTTGTAGAGAAATGCAACCCCGCCACCAGAGGCTTCGGAGTACTTGGAGATGCGACCTTGGCGAATAATAGAGATGTCATTGGAAACTGAATAATACAATTTTTTTTATTATCGATTTCTGGTGTCCACTAAATGGAGTTTTCTTACACCAAATAGAATGTGCCAACGAGCCGATGGCAGTTCAGAAAGCGTTTCAAGATCATATAAATTCAATATTCCATTACTCCGATACTTAACAATTGTTCCTCTCAACAAAACCTTGAGGAAACCTGCCGAAAATTACAAATGCGACAGAAATAAGAATACTCGAAGACACTGTAGACCCAACATTTTTAACGAACGTTTTGACGACGTATCCCGATGTTCGCAGCTCGTCTGTTGCATCGATCAGGTATGGAGAATTACCGAAAGATTCTCAATTTTTCACATTCAAATTGTTGCTGTATGACTTCGCTCCGGATCAGATTACTTTCTTGTATTTTTTTTGGATTCTCGATGTAATTATTCAAATTTCTTTTCTTTCAGAATTTCCTCGGTCGAAATATTCGGTTGCAAGGCGTTACATTAACAAACCAAGATCTTCTTCAGTTGCTTGATAAATGGATCTCAAACGAAGCTTATCATAACCTGGAGACTCTAACCATTTACGTAGACGCTCCAAATACTTTAATCAACGAAGATCTGATACGACAGACGATTGCATTTGAGGAATACGATACGAACATGCCGGAAAAGAGACCTGATCGTTTCATTTTTGACGTACCGTAAGTTATTCTAAATAATAATAAATTACCGTTCCCTACTACTAACTATTTCAGGTAGGTTAGTATCACTCCGAAGAAGTATTCTCTCAGAGACCCAGAGTTCTAATCTGTATGAAAGTTTAAATAACGTCGTCCATATTATTATTCTGTTTTTGATTTTTTATCTTTTTTCTGTTTCTACTTGTATCTTCTTGACAATAGTGTTTGTGACTTTTCTGCATGTTTGAAAATCTTTTTTTATAATAAACAAATCTAATTGAAACCAATGTAGATGCACGAATAGGTTGGTATAAGGAAGAGAGAACACTCAAGTCTCTTTCGAATTTTAGCGAGTTTTTCAGGGGGCTTCATATTACAGTTTTTCAGGTGTTTTTTTCTTTCTTTCATTTAAAGTCTGACTGGATTGCATTGTTTTCGATGTAAGAGAAGTTTGAAAATTATTGTTCATTGATTGTAATCGAATTTCATGCTTTCTCAAACGACAGGTGAAAACGAAACAATAAATTAAGAAGGAACACTTTACAAATAAAACATACAATTGTTGAGTTCATAAAAGCACCGGTTAGACGATTTGTTCGAGTTGCTTAGCGTAAAAAATGGTTTGTGTGGCGATTCGAACGGTGTCAAGATTCACCGGTTTCTCTTGTGCCACTTCGACTTCGAATATGAAGCGTTCTCCATCCAAATGCCATTTTCTCTGAAAAAAAAACGTTTTAGTGGGAATTTTCAGTATAAATTACAAACCTCTCCTGCGAACTTGAGCATTTGCTGATCGTTGTCAAACAAAAGCATGACAGCAGCATCTTTCGCGGTTAATACTTTGAACGACTTTTCAATCGAAGCAGCAATTTCACGCCGAATGGTGTCGAGCATGATGCGAATGAAGACGGAGTAGGATGGGTTCGGGATGTTTTTCTCGGTGAGCACAACCTTGTTGTATGCGCCCTCCATCAAACTCTGTTCAATGCGGACTGGAGTTGAGATGTAGGCATTCGAAGTCTGCTCCTTTTGCGGAACTTGTTCAAGAAGCATATGGAAGTCGGAAAGTCGGTTGCTAGCTAGCAAGAACATCAAATGCAATCCAGTCATCAAATGTTTGTTTTCAGAATTTTCTGGCACCATTATGTAGTAAGTATGCACCTGTAAAGATTTGGTACTTAAAAAAAGCAACAGATCTTAGTCTTAAAGTTAGATCACCCCCTACCTGATTGATATTATCATCGAATGTATCGAAATCTCCGTTGTTAATCGCCTGGAGCACCGAAATTTCGTACAAGTCTCTGAAAAGTTGAAAATAATTTCAATAGATTCATTCATCTACGTACTTGGTCGCTAATGCTGCCGCCTTGTCGTTCATATCGTTGGCTCCGCTGAGAGCAGTCTGGAAAAAAATATATAAACATGATCAAACATAACTGATTTACACACCGATAAGTCATTCAAAGCTTTTTGTACGGCGGCGTTGTCCTTCGGCTCCTTTGACCATAATTGCAGAAGATTTTTATGAGCAGCAGCCATTCTATGAAAACCCCAAAATTACAAATTCTTATAGCAAAAAAAAAAGAAAAAAAGAAAAAAACATTTGAAAAATAAAACAGTTTGAAGGCTCGTAAATCGACACCATGACAAAATTTGTGCAGGTCTCGCAACGAACCGCGTTCAAATCATGTGCGCCTTTAAACAGTCAAGGGTTGCTGGTTTAACGCATTCTCGCGCACAACAAGTTGACTGGAGCTTTTGTTTGTCAGACAAATGTGTTTTTTTCGTGTTCTATTCATCTCGTTTAGCGATTCCTTATCTAAATCTATATAAATAGTCTAGAAAACACTGAAAGAGTAGTATTGCAGATTGAGTTTTCGCTTCCTTTGTTTTACTGGTTTCGAAATTCAGAAAGCTTTCGAACAACCTCTTTTTTTCTTTTTTTTTTTTGCTATAAGAATACTCTTACTTTATTTTATTGCTGAACTCTAATAATTTTGCTGTTTTTCAGAATGCCAGTGACCGTTACATTCAGAACTCTCACTCAACAAAACTTCAACCTCGAGCTGAATGAGGAACAAACCGTAAGTATTTCATTCATGCTTCAAAATCCTAATCGATTGATTAACTAAAAACAAGCGATAAAGACGACTTTCTAGATCGCCGAAGTGAAAGCACAAGTCGCATCAGGACGTGGGGATGAATACGCTCCAGAATTGCAGAAATTGATCTGGAACGGAAAAGTAAGGATCACATTAACCACTTATGAAAGTTTTCACATCTTCAGGTTCTTGATGATTCTCAAAAAGTTGGAGACATTGGATTCGATGGAACAAAGTTTGTAGTCGTGATGCTTGCCAAAAAGAAGGCACCAGTCGTTACACCAGCCCCTGCAGCTACTCCAGTTCCAGCTTCTGAGCCTGCCGCTACTTCTGCCGCACCAGCTCCAACCCCAGCACCAACCGCCGAACCTGCTGTAGCTGCACCTGCCGCTGAACAGCTCACTGCGGATCAAGAAGAAAGCGTGAATGCCATCACAAGTATGGGATACGATAGGGAGCAGACTACCGCCGCTCTTCGTGCTGCTTTTTGGAACCCCGAACGCGCGGTTGAGTTCCTTCTCAATGGAATTCCAGATGATATTGTCAACCAAGAGCCAGGATTTGGACTTCCGGAACAAAACGCCGATAATGCGGACGAGGATGTTAACGAAGACCTTGACATGCTTGCTAACATGCCACAGCTCGGTGAAATCAGAAACATGATTCAACAGAATCCAGAGATGCTTGCTGCTGTACTCCAACAGTTGGCTACCGTGAATCCGAGACTTGTACAGGTAATCCAAAACAACCAGCAAGCTTTCATGGATCTTTTGAACCGAGGAGGACCAGCTGGAGGAGCTGCGGCAGGTGGGAACGCTGGAAATGCCGGCGAGAGAGGAGGGCAGCGTCGTCACGTCATTCATCTCAGCCCAGAAGAAGCTGAAGCTATCGCTAGAATCAAGGCTATCGTCTCGCATGCTCCAGAAGCGGTTGTTGTTGAGGCTTATTTCGCTTGCGACAAAAACGAGGAAGCTGCTATCAACTTCATCTTCCAATCATTCGTAAGTGTTTTGGTGCTAAAGCAGTCAACATTTTTTTTTTCGTTTATAGGATGAGGACAATTAGACAACCACTCCAAACACGTCTCATCCCAGCACCAACCGATTCTCCTAACTGAATATTGAGATAAATCATTTATTCCTGTCCCGACCCGTTTTACCTATATAGAGCCAGCTCTACCAAATTTCAAGAAATGTCTTGATTGCCTCCCCGATTGCCCGTTTGTCTATATATTAAAAGAAGAATCCCCATTCAGTTTCTCAAACTGTTTGTCACTCGCTACCGGTAGGGCTTCTGTATAATTTCTGCTGGCACTGCTCCCCTGCTATTCGTTTAATTCCTTGTTGCGATGACGATTCGTTAATGACATAATTTTGGTATTTTATCCCTCATAAGTCCCTCTTCCAAATGTCAAATGAATGTCAATCTATTTATAACCTTTTCATTGTCTGATGGTCTCGTATCTCGATACTGTTATTCCGATTCGAATAGTTTAATGGACCCTTTGAAAGTCTTATCCTCAGATGCCGGGCAAAATAAGCGAAGAAGCAATGCAGGAACAGGCTGAAAGAGCTGAATATGTTAAAAACATTGGAATTGAATACAGGTTCGGATGTTACGAAGTGAGGAAACCAGTAAATATTTTTAAAATATGAGACTTTCTCGCAGGAGAAACGACCAGAGTCCTGCCAATTACTCGGAGAGTACATGGAAGCTCTTCAACAAAACTTCTCAGCAGCGCTTGCTATTTTCAAAAAGAATTGCGATGAGTTCAGTTATCCAAAGTCTTGTTTCAAGTATGGAATGTATATGTTAGCCGGAAAAGCAGGCGACGATGCAAACCTTTCAAAGATGATTCGACCGATGAAAATCGCCTGTGATGCTAATATCCCACAAGGCTGTCGTTACTTGGCTTTGGTTCACTGGAATGGAGAAAAAGATCGGAAGGCAGATTCAGAGAAAGCTGAAAGATATATGAGGCGGGCTTGTGAACTGGAAGACGGTGAAGCATGTTGGCTGCTAAGCACATGGTACATGGGTAATAAGGAGAAGTTCAAGACGACTGCTTCTGGAGAAGCCAAGGTAAACAACCCTTATTATAATTTCCTTCTTTGTTGTCTAATCTGCCATCTCGTGTTTGCAGTCTCTGTAAATTACGGTGTTGTGCACAGCAAGCAACTTGCTCCCTCGTGGCTGGTATTATCCTTGTCGAAAAATTTAAAGAATTTTTAGTGTGTGACGTTTCAAGCGATCTATTTTGTACTCGTCAACAAAATTGCGTATTTATTTCAGGAGCTCGACCGATCAGACCTTGGCCAATTGTCACGTGATATGGAAAAAAGTCTTCAATATGCAATTCGAGCATGTGACCTAGATATTCCTCAAAGTTGCGCAAACGTTTCGAGAATGTTCAAATTGGGAGATGGCGTTCCAAAGGATTTGGATCAAGCGAAAAAGTATGCGGACCGAGCGAAAGAGATTATGGATGTAATGCGATCCAACGATACCAGTGCTGGATTTACTGCATAGAGCTTTCCAGCTACTTTTTTATTGTTTTCTTTTTTAGATTTTTTTGTATTCTTGTTGAAAATTTAGGTGTACTTTTTTAGTCATAAAGTTTATTATTGTTTAAAGAGAAAAAAAGCATTTGAAAGTTCAACAATTACCAGTATTGTTTTGAGTTTGAGTATCAAATTATTACGATGAGATCGTCACAATTAATAAGATGGTTTACCAACAACTACAGATAGATTTTTAAAGATTCTCAGAGAATAGTTCGTTCTAGACCATGACTCGAAGCGATGGTGAGAAGTGTGGATGAACATGAAAATTGAGCGATGATGTAGAAAAATTGGGGCGTCCGTGAAGGCGTTGCGTCCAGACAAGAGGAGATCGGAGATGGACTGGTAGGCTACCACGGATGTAGGTGTTCAGGAGATTCTGCAATGATTGTTCGTATATTTTGAATTTTTCTCGTCGAGATATTTACCTCAAGGAATCCTTTATGAGTAACAATCCACGATTCCATAGTGCTTGCAAACTTTTGGAAGTTTCTAGAGCTGGATGTTTGAAGAACCTTGATATCCTTGATTTGGAATTTCGCCCTCCATTGGACGTCTCCATTTTCTGGATGTTCTAGAGCAACGTCTTCAAGAATTAGGTTGACATCGGTTTTAATTTTGAAAAGCTCTTGTCCACTTGAAGTTGTTAAGGAAGTTGTCAGTGGAAGGGTGAGACAGATACTGTCGTCGGATTGAATCTTGACTGATGGGCGGTCGAAAAATGACGAAACAATATCACCATCTTCGAAAAATTTGCATTCAACAGTCTTGCATTCTTTGACAGCATTTTTGATTTCTGGAACATCATTCCAGATGAATCGGGTATTTGCAATGGAGAACAGCTTGGAGAGTTCAGCATTGATAACACTTTCAGACACTTCCACGTGGATTGCTGAGTCATCCTCGGCAGTCGGATTCTGGAAGTGAAGTTCCACATTGATATGAGATGGATGTCCTCCTTGACTGATATCAGTGGCTTCTGCGAAATGCATCAAATGAGTGTTCATCTTGGAGATGAGCGTCGTGGCTTTCAAGCAAGATGCTTCTCTGAGTTGTTCCAAAAGATCCTCTTTAATTTTTGCAGAAATTTGTTCTGGAAGCACTGGACTCATTGTGATCATCGATTCGTCCACTTCAAGTGTGCATTTGTCAGAGGTAACCGTCTGAAAAAATAAGAAGATTTTGATGGGTTTGAGTGCACATTCCTTTACAGATTATTATTATTTATCAAGGAGCTTAACACACATAACTTTTTTTTTCTTCAAAAAACCAGAAAACGAAACTCACAAATTTAGTCAAAGCATTTCTTTGCACCGGAATGGATAGATGGAAATGTTCCAAAATCATTTCAAATTGTCCCTCTCTTTTTGTCTTGTATACTGCTGAATACTGCCCAAGAAGACGGGCTGATCCACCGATCATTTTAAATGTCATATGATTTGGTGACGGAGCAGTCTGTAAGTTCATAAGTTAAGAAGGTGTTTCCAGAAGAAACCTAATCTGTATTTACATACACATCTAGGTGTGGATGACTAACCTCATAAGTCAGTTTCGGCATTTTTAAATCAACAACTTGAAGGTGGTCAATTGTCACCTCAAGACCCAAATACGTGGCTTTGAATGGTGGAGGTTTGAGGTGAAGAAGTGAGGTGTGAAGTGATGACATTTCCTTTTTGAATACATGAGCAACGGCCTTCGGAGTCATCTTAACGACGACTTCGGCGGCGAAAACCGTCGTCAGGAGGAAGAGAATGAGCATGTGAAGAAGGGAGAACATAGAAGAATATAGCTCGTCAGTTTGGGGAATTGAGTGATGAAGCTGAAATAATGATTTCTTGAGAATGTTACAACAATTGCATTCTTGAAAAAGTCACACGAGAGTATTTAGAAGACGTCAAGGGTGAAAGTGAAAATCTGTAACTGGTTCAAGACATAACGGAAAAGGAGGGAAAAGCAGTTGAGAGGTGAAACTGTCACAGAATTTGATAAGAGGGGCAAAATCAACGAGTGTGGTGGAGGTTACACACAGATAACGTGACAGGGGAATAAGTTGGGGAGGGCGGGCAAGAAAACCCCGAAGAAGAAGTCGAGAAATACAAAGAAATTGAGAGTACGGTGGTATCTGAATCAAGTTCTTTAAAAAAGAGAGAGCACACTGTGCCAGGTCATTTATATTGTGATAACAAGCGTGGGAGGAGTGTCAAACAGAGGGGAGGGCAGACGACTCATCAATGGAATTTATATATAGAAATAGAATGAGAAGGACGAAAGGTTACTGTAGCTCAAGTTCATTTTTTGAAAACGATACTAGGCATACTGTAAATAAGGGATACTGTAGCCATTTCAGAAATTTCGGTAGTTTATACGATATTTTGCAGCTACCGTAACAATTCGTGACTTCAAAATGATGCAAATCTATTAAAAATAAACCGTTTATATATAGAAGTTTCAACACCAAAGATAGTCTTCTGACGTCACAAAATACTGTTCGGAGTCGCGCGAGGAATCATCTTCAAACCTTCAAAAATCGAGTGAAGAAATCAGAGAATCGATCTACAGTACTCTCTCTTTCTGAGAAAGTTTGATGAGTGCTGACGACTGACAGTTTTGAGGGCCTAATATAATTGAATGGGAAGTGGGCGGAGCTTGTTTAGTCTTTCATCGTTGGTAGTTCAAATGGAGATTCCAGATGGATATAGTATATATATAGAAGGAGGAAAAGACATTCTGACGACGTCACAAGCACACTTCGGTTATCTTTTCTCTTTCGGACATTATTCTATTGAGGAAGAGAAGGAGATGAGAAGAGAAGCAACGACGAGTTCTATTTTGGATTTGATTTTGATTTCCACATCGTCGAAGTGAAGGAAATGATAGAGGTGATAAGCGGCGGAAATTATGAGAAAAATGAAGAAAGATCATAAGGAATCGAGAGAAATCGAAATGGGTAATCTATGGTGATAAGTTGAAAGTTCAATACTTTCAAAGAAGATTTTTCAAGTGTGATACGGTCGTGATGATTTCTCGACGTCTTCAATCTATGAGTATAAGTACATCTTCTATTTGTGACAGAGACCATTTCTTTACTATAAACAATTACTGTAGTCCTCCTGTAGTTCTACTGTAGTCCTACTGTACCCAACTAGGTTGCACTATTTATTTTCAAACCAAATCACCTGCTAACTAATTTTCAGTCTACCCTTAACTATCAAAAACACATTATAATCTTTTGTTTATGTCATTTGATCATTTAAAAACTACTGCGCAAGGTCTACAAAAAGTGTAAATATGAAACTGCAAAAATTTGATCAATGGTCATAAATAACTGTTATAAGTGATTGTTAACAAATTGAAATTTAAAAATCAAGGTTTCAAAATCTGGGACAATGCCTAGTTAAGAAGATTTTCTACAGTAGGCCGAGAGTCACGTGGATGCTGATTGGTGATAGTTTTAATTTTGGAGTCTCTTTTTATTTTTAGATCCACATCTTGATCATAAATAGGGTGCAAATTTTGATGACTTCTATAGAGTTTTATCAACAAAAAAATGACTAGAACAAAAAGAATATAAATTTATATGTGGTCAGTCTTATGATAGACTGGTAATTAGAGAAAAGACTGGAAGGGCAAGAAGGAAATTAGCTGAGAAGATGACAATAACATACTAGTATTATAGTCACGCATATACACTAACAATTCGCTGGATTCCTGATTTAGATTCCTTTCAAAAATTGGATTACGGAGAGAGAGAGATAGAGACAAGAAGTTCTTAAAAGTGGTTTCAGAATTGTTAATGATTACCGATTTCCGGCAGTTTCGAGTGCAATAACGAGAAGAATCTGAATTAAATCTTTGGAATTACAATTTCAGAATTTATCTCAATTTGAAGAAAAATAGAATCAAAATTTGCAGCATACTGTACGAGATGCCACTATCGGGGATTTCGGATGTTTTCAGTCAAACGTATTTTAAATTGAGAAATCTAAAAAACTGGACTTGTCCAATCTTTTTGAATTTTTCCGAAAACACCAAAAAAGGCATTTCTGATACTTTTCTTGAAAGTACATTCAAGCGAAAAACCGTAGTCCCTCTAATAAAAGTCTAATAGAAGGATTGGGGAGCCGTAAACTTTGAGCTCGATTCACTCGATTCCTGTGAAAGATATGAAAAATTTGTCAACTGAATATTGGTGATATCATGATAAATAATTTAGCAGTTGACAAAATTTTAATATCTTTCACAGGAATAGAGATAATGGATCTCAAAATTGACAGCCTGGGGAGGCTTTCTATTAGAGTGGTTACGGTATATTGTTCGGAATTTGAGAGACTAAAAATTATTGATAATTTTCAAATTTTTCTGGTTTCAAAATGAATATTTCTTTCAGTGTTAAATACTTCTAAAAATGTCTTTAATCGAAACTAAATATAAGCTAGATGGTTTTTTTAACAGGTTCAAGAATTATTGGACAAAAGTAATACTGTTTTCCAGCTTTCAAAGTTAATTAATTTCATGGATAAGTGAAGTTTATGACTTTTGTATTCAATTTGTCAATACCGAAAAACCTGTGATGGGACACCGCCTTGTAAAGTTTGAGCTCAATTACCTCGATTCCTATGCAAAATATCCAAAATGGGTCAATTGGCAAACATTTCTGATATTATGATAAATTATTCATCAGTTGACAACTTTATCATATTTTTGACAGGAACCAAGAGGCTCGAAGTTAAAAATATGGGGGGGGGGGGGATCTATTGCAAGTTTTACGGTAACTACAGTAATCCTTCAATTGAACTTTTTTTTGTTTTGTTGACTTCTACAGATCCCTAGTATCGACTACTTCGTATTACTAGTTTCTTGAGAATTTAGGAGAACTAAAGCTAATTAATTTTTGAATTTTGGGAAGACTGATTGAATCTGAACCTTACATAATAATAAAAACCAGACGATTCCAAGAAATCCGCTTACAAAAATAATGCAAAATCTACAGTATCCAAATAAGAAATTCCCCTCGCCTTGTTCTGCGCCTTTATATCAAGACTCTTTTCCATGATATCATTAATGACTTTGAAAGAATATAGACCATTTAGATCATAGTGTTACAAGAATATACAGACAAACGTCACTTTTTCTCGCATTCAGAAGAAGTTTCTGTGTATTCTCAAGACGTCATTGAGGAGGTTTTGCGGTCCTTTTGCATTCCTTTTGGATGTTCTGAATGTTTGATTTTCAGAAATTCTGGTCCTTGAAATGTATGGATTTGGGTAGTTGAACACTTAAGTTTCGATACATTAGGGTTTTAGAACAACTAAGCTTTCCGATATTGTACTATTGCTCTATTCAACTAATATCTTTAAGTCTTCCTTCATACTGTTTCAAACCCAGTAATCGAAAATCTTCATTTTGAGAAGAATCAGAAACAGTTCAAGTTGATATGTTTGATCATCCAACGATCAAAGTTGAATAGAAAATAAACCCCGCCTCTTGAATACTGTAGATGGGTCACGGTTGGTATAAAAGACGATGGATAAGATGAAAAGATTCAAGTGAGAACAAATATATAAATGATGATAATAACCGCTTCAGATTCGTCTTTCTATCCTTCTTTCCTTTTCTTTTTCTACAGTAATCACCGGAAGTTGACGCTTGTCACATTTGACGAGACAGTATGATGATTTGAAGAGATGCAGAGAAAATCTTCAAAGAGCGCGATACATTCTCCAAAAATAGACATTTGGACATGTTTAGGAAACTGATGGGAAAAAAGGAAACGAAAACGTGATTTATCACTGATATTTTGTCTCATCTCCTCCATTAAAATGAAATTCGACATGACAACGTGGAACAGAAAACAGATGCGAGCAGGTCGTTTCCGATTGTTTTTGATTGCCGAGGAGAAGAATTTCAAAATGAGACCTTTTTCGGGGCGTGTGAAAAGTTGAGCGATTTTCAAAGATCGTAATCGAAGTTCCGCTGAGAATGCAATATCTGAAACTGTTCTCTCCCAATCTGAAAGTCAGAATTCTGAATGTTTGTGTCCTTGATGATGATATGAAATTATCCCAATCTTGATTCTGTAAAAATAAAATTTTCTAAATATCAGAAGAAATCTTTGAAAAATGCGCAAAATTTAAAAAAATCTAGACCTCCATTCGAAAATTGCTATTATAGAAAACATGGAATACCGAAAAATCTGTACTAGAAGGACCCCCTTAAATAGGAGGGTCCCTGTAATTGTAGGGCCGTTTGGAGGTACCATGGAATAATAGAAAGTCCAACCCTTTTAATACGGGTTTCACGGTATCCAGCTTTCGTGAGAGTTCGAAAAATGTTCGAGAGCCTTCTAGAAATTTCCAAAATTTAAATTTTCCGTCGAAAAACCTACGACCCTTGAAGCCCCATTGACCTCTGGAGGAGTTCTATAAAGGAAGAGGGAAGTGGAGGGACAAATCAGTTCTTCCTTCTCTGGGCTCCTGAGAAGATGACCCGGGGGAGGATCCCTGGATCACCCACGGAGGACCCAAGGACCCAAGGACCCAAGGATACGACCCAGAAATTGAAATCTAGGTCATGACCCAGAAATTGAAATCTAGGTCATAGCCCAGAAATTGAAATCTAGGTCATGACCCAGAAATTGAAATCTGGGTCATGAATCAGAAATTGAAATCTAGGTCATGACTCAAATTTTGAAATCTGGGTCATGACCCAGAAACTGAAATCTAGGTCATAGGCCAGAACTTGAAATCTAGCTCATTACCC